AAGACAATGCTCAAATTTACTGCAGCTGAGGTTGCAAGGATGCCTGACTTTGAAAATTTGAGCATTGTCTTACCATGGCTGGCCCTTCTACAAGTCGTGCGCTAGCGGAGGTCGAACTAGTGACCGTGCTGGACGAAGTATTTGACGACGAAACCCTAAGTCATTATAGTTCCGATGATGACAGTGCATGGGACTGTGATTACACACAACTGGTGCCACCTGAGACCAACAGTGCTAGTGAAAGTGGCAGTGACGATGAGAATATCATGGCCCACGATGGATTGGAAGAGGTGTCCAGGGCATTAGTGTGGGAATATATTGAATCGTTTCACGCTTCGCGAGAATCGTTTTGTGGTGTGTGTGGTCCCAAGTTCGACATTGCCGAACTAGATGTCGTCAGTGCCTTTGAAAGCATTTTCGATATTTCCCTTGTTGATGAAACAAACAGGTATGCTCAACAGGAAATATCGAAAATCGCCAGACCTCTCACATTTCGCTCTAGAATTCGGAAGTGGGAAGATGTGACAGTGGACGAAATGTACGTGGTTTTGGCACTAATTATGTTGATTGGCATTGATCAGAGGCCTACATTGAGGTCTGCATTTCCCGGAGTGTCTTCCCCCGTCAGGGAAGAAGTCAAGACCTTACAGAAGGTGTGTGGTGTGCGCGAGAAAGAGCCACAGGAAAGATACTCAGTATAGGTGTGGTAAATGTGAGGCAGCGTTGTGTGTAGAATGCTTCAAAGTGTATCATACACTACTGAAATTCTAAACCACCTGCTTCCATTGCCGAGATACAGGGCGCTCATATTATAAGGTAAGATTATAAAACCATCTTTTAAGATCATTTTAGTGAAAGTTTCATGTTTATATCTCATATAATTTAAAAACTAATGATGAATAAAAGATTCTTGAGCAAAATTTAAATGGGCTGAAAATATTACCGCCGGAGAGACACGGCAGCGGAATTTAATGACCACACTGAAAAATTACCGCGATGAAGGGTTAATGAGGAGCTTCACAATTTATAATCTTCACCAAATGATGAGAAAGATGGCTTATGTAGCATGCATGGGAGTTATGAGATATATATGAAATCTTGGTTGCGAAACCTCAAAGGACGATACTTCTTGAAGATCTAGTTGTAGACTGAAGGGTAATATTAAAATGGATCTTACGTAAATAGTATGTTATGGCGTTGTGTAGATTCGTCTGGCTGTGGAGATTGGCGGATTCTTATGAACATGGTGATGAAGCTCCGAATTCAATAATCACAGATAATTTCATGTCCAGCTGAGTAACTATCAGCTTGCTAAGGAGTAGTTCCGCGAACCAGTTCTTGTTTCATGCACGTCCGACGAAAGTTTCACCCGCATCTGGAGGGCCGGATGGCATTTCCCACAAAAGTGACCACATTCTGATGTGGCCGCAGATAACATCACATGCACAATCTAGAGGGGAAAATGCCAGTTACTCATAATTAGTAGGTCTGCATTGTGAAGTGGAGTGAAGTAGTGTACTGTTTCACAGTCGTCAGTAAAGGTCTAGTGAGTTGGCGCTCGAGTGTTGTAATGTGTTGCGTCTTTTAAACGCACTGAAGCGGTGAATGAAGTGCGTCTCATGTGACATCAGACCCCCACAGTATATACATCCTATACCAGAGGTTCCCAGACTTCTTGACGTGATGTCCTACGTTTGGTTTTCACCAGAACAAATCCTCTTGTCCTCTCCCGAATTTTATTTTTGGCTGAAATAAATGTAACCTTTTCACTGGCGTTCATAGCATGTAGAGCCGTTACTATGCAACGACCGCGAGAAAAGCAAATATACCAGAGCCGTTTCTAGGCAACGGCTCGGTAAACAAGTTCCCGGGACAACGGATACTCTTGCAACAGTAGAAATACTATTGGAGACGGTCTTTTCTACTTGGTCCGCGCAAAGATGTTATAAGCACGACAATTGAAGCATGAATAGTTTGAGTACCCGGTGTGGAGGCGGGGTCGAATACCTCCACCATGACCCTACGAATCATAGGAAGCAACGAAAAGGGAAGTCTCGAATCTGAGACAGTAAAATATGGTCGCGAGTCCCAAGGGACTCAGACCCGACAATTATTGCGCTGGCGGGTACCAGCAACAGCTGTAAACAACAGACTCGTCCTCTCGTCACAGAGAGCGTCCTACATCAACAAACCTGCAACTGCCTGACAAAGAAAAATCCAGTCGTAAGCCCAAGGTAAAAAAAGGCAAAGGCACTACGTCATGAAGGCGCATGGGAGAGCGCATGTATAGATCCACATTTTATTGATCTTGGAACTAGGTGGAGGTGAGTGGTCAGCCTCTCGCCCCGGCCGCTTTACCCCCGGGCAAAAGAGCCTCCGGTACCCATTGGATAGGAGGTTGGGTGGACCCCAGAGCCGGTCTGGCCGACGTGGAGAAGAGAACATTCCTGACCCTACCGGGATGTCATCTGGCCGGAGCGTGAAGCCGTGTAAATGCTTGATGTCTTGTTTCGTCCCACGAATCGTGTGGGAAATTCAAGGGGCGAGATGTCAGGATTAGCCAATGGTTGGAAAGGGGTCAGGTCCTGGGAACGCTCGGTTTCTTATAAAACTTGCGACGGAGCCGAGCTGCGGCAGATATCAGTGAGCCCTCAGCTGACACCTGACACAGGATGGCCTTCTTCACAGTAAGTGCAGCGGTGGGTCGGTGCGTTCACTGCTCTTGTTGGAGGCATGCTTTGACATTCAGATTACAGTGTTCATAATTCCGAGTGTAGCTGTTTGTATTGTTCTGTGAAATGTACAGGTTACAATGGCTTGAATGTATAGTTCGCTTCAGGAGAAAAGAAATGTATGTAATTGTGGTAGTAGGGAGAAATCGGGGGGAGGGTGGCTTCTAAACCCGAGAAGGAGCCTTACAGTTGATCATGTGCGAATGGGAGGTGGATATAACTGGCTCAGGTTCGTGTCCAGTGGCGGGTTTTGGTATTAGCGGTGTTGAACCTTCGGGTTCTGCTACCAGAGAGTGAGTTAATTAGTAAGATGGATCTTAAGAAACAGGCTGTTAGGATGGGAGGTGAATGGAACTGGCTCAGGATCGTGTCCAGTGGCGGGTTTTGGTATTAGCGGTGTTGAACCTTCGGGTTCTGCTACTAGAGAGTCAGTTAATTAGTAAGATGGATCTTAGGAAATAGGTTGTGAGGATGGGAAGTGGGTGGAACTGGCTCAGGTTCGTGTCCAGTGGCGGGCTTTGGTATTAGCGGTGCTGAACCTTCGTGTTCTGCTACCAGAGAGTCAGTTAATTAGTAAGATGGATCTTAAGAAACAGGCTGTGAGGATGGGAGGTGGATGGAACTGGCTCAGGATCCTGTCCAGTCGTGGGCTTTGGTATTAGCGGCGTTGAACCTTCGTGTTCTGCTATCAGAGAGTTAGTTATTTAGTAAGATGGATCTTAAGAAACAGGTTGTGAGGATGGGAAGTGGATGGAACTGGCTCAGGCTCAGGTTCGTGTCCAGTGGTGGGCTTTGGTATTAGCGGCGTTGAACCTTCGGGTTCAGCTACCAGAGAGTTAGTTAATTAGGAAGATGGATCTTAGGAAACATGTTGTGAGGATGGGAGGTGGATGGAAGCGTTCCAAGACCAGACAAGATGTGCAGTTTGGCTTAGAACAGAGAGGTCTGCCTATATCAGACAAAAACCATATGCCCGATACACCAGCATCAAACTGGAGCGCGTCCTGTCTCTACTCCCACTCGTTCTGCAGGTTGTGACATTGGTCTCGTTGCTTGCTGCCGCCGCCCACGTGGGGCACCCGTACACTGTGCCGCACTACGTGCCCCTGTATCCTGACGCCTACCCGCAATACAGCTTCGGCTACACTGTCCAGGACGCCCTGACCGGTGACTCGAAGACCCAGCATGAGACGCGGGATGGTGGCGTCGTTAAGGGCAGCTACAGCCTGGTGGAGCCCGACGGCACGACGCGTATCGTCGAGTACACTGCACATCCCGTCCATGGATTCAACGCCGTCGTACATCGGCGTCCTTCCGTGGTGAAGGTGGCACCTGTGTATCACGGTTACCAACCGCACCATTACTGAGCTTCTGCCTCAGGAAACACTAAGTTGTACGTCATTTAATGACACCATGTCAACTGCAGAGGTTTTAATGTATTCAAGTAAGAAGGTACAATAATATGGTTAATTGTGAATGAGTAAAGAAGTTGTCATAGCCTAACTGAATATACGTAAGTTGTCCCGAAATTCATTAAAATCTTCTGAAGGGTCCTGCAAGCTATTGCCGCGATAATATATTGAATTAGGCTACTGCCTAAGCCTGTAACTAATTCCTTGTATTTTTCCGAACGCAATCACCCTGTGTAATTCCTCGCCAAATGATGTTTGCAATTCATATGCCGTGGTTAGGTAACCAACTGTCTGTCTTCTAAACTGTGAAATATCTCAGAAGATGTAATCGGTATTTGAAGTGGGTACTTCTGGAAGGATAGCCCACACATTTGCGGCTACAGACGGGTAACTGCACAAAGCAGTAAGAACGGGCCGTAGCCGGCTGACAGAAATATGCCGGGTCCGCTCCGAAACGTCGCGTGTAGCAGTAGCACCATTTGCTGGTGTGAGTAAATTCATTGATGCTTTCATATAAGAGTGTTAATTTATGGGTATCACGCGGTGTAGTTCTGCAGTGGAACGTACTGTTTCCATCGTCAGGGTGAAAAGTAAACAAAACAAGTAGCCAGTAAGGAGCAAACAGCAGCTCTGATACTTGGCTTACTCTTAGACCCTGAATATGGCGACAGTTCTTTCCTCCGAAACGTCGGTAAACTTCTACCAGACTGTGTGGATTTACATATCTGAATATAATATTCTTCACAGTCACTGCCGTGACTTTCTTAAATGCAACCTGATCTGTGGTATTTGACTATGTTTATTCTTGTACATTGTATTTAATTTAGTGATTTTATTTAAAGCTGATTTTAATAATAAAATTTTGTAAATAGAGCATTATTTATTTGTATTGCATTCGAAGCACATAATCGCAACTGTTACAGAGAGATCTTTGGGCTGTGTGATTCTGTGACGTGTATGGTGCAGTATATTGCTGTCATGTGTGCCGGTGTGACTGAGGGTGTTTGAGAACAGGGTGCCGAGGAGAATATTTGGACATAAGAGGGAGGAGGATGTAAGAGGCAGCTGGAGAAAATTACCTGATAAGGAGCTTCATGACTTATTCTCCTCGCTAAATACTATTAGAATAATCAAATCATGGAAAATGAGATGAACGGACAAATTTAGAAATAAATACATACACAGTTTAAAAAAAACCGAAGGAATAAGACGACCCCGAAGATTAGACACGTAGGTGTGAGGATAAAAAGGTAAAGTTGTCCCTGTGCTTAACTAATTAAGCACTACTCCATGAAGGCGTATGAGGGAGCAGATGTATAGATCCACATTTTCTTGAACTCGGCACGATTTGGAGGTGATTGGTCAGTTTCACGTCCCAGCCCCGGAGAAAGAGCCCCCGGTACCCATTGGATGGAAGGCTGGGTGGGCCCCAGAGCCGGTCTGGGCTAGGTGGAGAAGAGAAAAATTGTTGGCTCTATCGGGACTCGAACTCCGACCTGTCTGTCGTCCAGCCCGTAGCCAGCCGCTATACCGACTACGCTATCCCGACTCCGTCATAGGTATGAGGATAATATTAAAACGGATTTGAAGGAGATAAATGAGGAATTGTGGTCTGGGTTTATCTGGCTTGGGATAGGGACCAGTGCGTGCTCTTCTGATCACGGTAATGAGCCTTCGGGTTTCATAAATAGCGCGGAAAATTTTGACCAGCTCAGCGAGCGTTGGCTTATCACGAAGGGGACTGCTCCATTGTACGAGTATTATCTGTTTATTGCGTAGTTTGCTTGGCCCAGACGGACGTTACGATTACATAAACGCACTTGTTCGTCGCGACGTGAACTGCCCATGGAGGAATACACGTGGAATGGCAGAAAATGGACATCCTCGCCAACACGTATAATCAGGGCCGACACGATTACTGCGAACCATTCTCACCTTTCCAGTCCCTTCTCGAAATTGACACTCCCACTGGTAGTAGAGGCAGGTAGATATCTCGAAGACCCGAGTTCTGCACAGAAAAAGTTGCACTGGGGGCGGGATTTTGTATGTGCCCCGTCACGAGGTGTGCAACAGGCCACACCTGGCAACACGTTATCACCACCTCGACGTTTGTCTCCATATTGAGGACAAAACAAACTCCGTGGCCTGTAGTCCGCAAGCGAACTATATCGACCGAGCGACCGCCGCTTGTCGGCGAAGTTAGTGCCAACTTTGCGGATAGAGGGTGTCGCGTGGTCAGCGCAACTGAACCCCACTGCCGTTAATCTCGGTTCTCTAGACCTGAGCCGTAATTTCCTTGAAATAGCTCCTCAGTTACCCTCACGAGGCTGAGTCGACCCCGTTCCAGACCCACTACTTTCATACTAAGGACAGATACCAAAATTAAATTATCTGGCCAATGACTTCTCAGATTTGGAATTCTCGTAACGGTGAAATCTTCGTGTAGTCTGGTACTAAGGAGTCCCCACCATGTGACTCACTGAACTTCGTGGTGGCACATCCCCGAAGACCGCAGCCTAAATTTCTGATGCAGACACGAACTACCTATTATGCGCTCAGTTTTCTTCGTCTATAATTTGGATCCTTGAGATGTGGGACAGACACGATAATCGTGAGAGCCACCACAGACCTGTTTAAGTAATGTTACACCATATAAATATTTTCATTAGGAGAAAGGCGCCCCTAGCGGCTGCTCGGCGAGGCTTGCATCATGCTCTGGAGAGAGTGTTAGAGTTATTTCTGCTATTGTCCGCTGCAGGACGCCACCAGCATACCAATTACATATGTCCAGAATGGCTACAGGAAGCGTAGCACGGAGAATAGATGGCTGCCGGATATTGTCTTTTGTTTCACCACGGAAACAATTGCACGATGCCTTTTAGCTGACTGGGAACTACGTTCGAAAGTGAGGTCGGCGATTGAATCTAAATCGATGCGCACCATCTTCAACCTTTAAAGCAAAGTGGTAACTATATACACTACCTGCTCTTACACAAAATAAACTCCTCAATTTAACCACAAAGTATCGTCAATCATCCTGGACAGATTACCAGTAAGTCAGGCACAGGCAGGCTGTACTTTCATTTACGCGTCTTCGCTTTGCGAGCTTTCATGTATGCGCGGTTAAGTTTCTGAGCATTTTACCCATACTTACGTATTGTGTACTCGCATATACGCGATATGTTCTGCGCTTCACTCTGGATCTTTTCAGAGGGCGCATGCACCCAATACCATAACGTTGGGAACATTTTTCCACTGCTAACAGTCTGACATGATGATAAGAATTGTATAAATGAGCGGTTTAGTATTATAATGTTTTGTCATCGTTTACCTACAGAATGGAAGGACCAGGAAACATTTACCGATTTGTATCCCATGATGCGCAGTAGCCCCTCCAAGGTGGGGCTAATTTCCCATTCGGAGCACAGAACTATGTACACATCGAGAAAGTGGCTGGCACGTTCTCCGTAAGGCTCACGTGATCTGAAACTGTCATGCAGCTTGCGATACTGCATAATCACACCGCTGGACAGGTGAACGGGGTGGCCATTGCTACGCCCTACTTGACTACACTTTTGTTTCCATAGTAACCAGTCCTGAAGCCTATGTGGATATACGATTCAGCATTGCATATGAATTGGCTTGTATACATGTTCTCAGTTATTGTACAGAATTTGTATTTGTCTAAATGTCTGTTCATCACTGCTTGCTCTTGCCTGCTATTGTGAATTCATGACCTGTTTTGTTCTGGTGTTTATGGGTTTAAAGTATCCTTCCTTCGTTGTGAAAAAAAAGTTATACAATTAATTATAATACAAGTAGGAGTAGCCCGTTGAAATGTCATTCTTTCTTAAACACTCATTCATTAATGTTAATGTTCATAATTGCCTAACTGAACCTGAAAGTGTAGATGGCCTTAATCATGAAATCCGTTGCCTGATGATTTTGATGTGGACCACATAGTGCAAGATTTATTTCGTTTAAGTTTGATCTCTCTAAATCCTGACTGACTGCTGCTCCTCGTCAGCACAGTGATTCTTGCTCCCGACTACCATGGGACTCATGTCCATAGTTTACTCTGTGACTCTTCTGGGAGCCTTCAGTTGCTTCTTCGCAGAAAACATACTGTGCCTTCATTACAAATGCCAAGTGGTTGACAGTCCAGCTTAGTGAAAGCTAACAGTGGCGTACGACAGGACACGTGGGGTGTTGAGATTAGGCAGTGTGGGAGATTGCGGGTTCTTTTTGCCTTGTGTCGACTACATATCAAGTTGGCGCTCCGAGGACGGGAAAAATCCTTACAGAGATATATTAATAAAGTGTGCCACTTCTCTGCGACCTTGCTCCTGGTATGATGTGCAGCCAGCTCTTTTGCATCGAGCCCTGTGTATGCGGGAACGAATTATTTTTGTTTCATATGACTGCCCAATTTAAACTATTGAAATTGTGGCAGTGAGATTTATACATGATTTATTTAACAACACTGCCACTATCTGGGACTGTATGGCACCAAAAGGCCGCGCCATAGCTCAAGCGGTTAGTTGCTGGCTTTCCACCGCCGTGGCCCGGGTTCGATCCCGGATCTGGTCAAGTGGGATTTGTGGTGGACGAAGTGGCGCTGGGGCAGGTTGTCTCCGAGTACTTCGGTTTCCCCTGCCAATCTTCATTCCACCAATTGCTCCACAATCACCCTCACCCTCATCTGGGGCTGGTACAATAGACCAGAAGTGGCCGCAGTACAAGGGACTTAGTCCCACCCCCACTAGCAATAATTAAAAAAAATGGCGCCAAATGGTGGGCGTTTTATGGAACCTGAAAGTTCATTAACGTGTTCACAAAAACCCGCCACTGATCCCTATCCTAAGCCAGATGAATCCAGCCCACGCCCTCACATAAAGTTATGTTAAGACCCATTGAATATCACCCACGTATCTAGGAGTAATTCTCCCGAGTGGTCTTATTCCTTCAGGTTTCCGTACTAAAACGTTTTTTGCATTTCTCTTCTCCGTCATGCTTGGATTCATTACTGTTATTATTATTATTATACATCCACATTCTGACTGTATCATATAACCATTAAATTATTCTTCCCATGTGGCGGTGCATCGATGAATTAAAGGATGTTACTTTTTATTAACCTTTTTCCATGCTGCTTCTTTATTTAGAGAAATGTCCTGTCAGTGGGGGTGCATGGTAGCATAGTTGGTTGAGGTACTATGCTACAAGCCAGAAGATCGCGGGTTCGATTCCCAATGAAGTTATTTCATTTTTCAATTTACCTTTTTCTTCCAGCCAGACTATGGTCCTGGGGTAGACTCAGCCTCTAACAGAAATTAATACCAGGAATCTTCCTATGGGTAAATGGTAGCGAGCGCATAAGGCTGATAACCTCACCGCCATCTGTGAGCTGATTTTCTAAAAAAATGTGGGAACCTCGACGTCTCCTATGGGCCTCCACGGCTTCTGTCGGTATGTTTTTCCCATGGTAACGTTTAGTTTCTTATTTTTATAAAGCCACGAGTGGTTGCAGCTGTATGGAGTTTCTTGGACAGGCTGTGTTTGTAGCGAAATATTTTGCTTAGGGTGGACTCTGCAATCTGTCGGGACCGTGGGATTGGAGCTTACTTCCAGTACTTGCTACAGTTTGGCAGTGAACCCGAACGCAGCAAGTCCGTTTTGAATTTACAGTATCTCGCGTCCTCCTAGCTCCGGTCTAGAGCTCTGTACTCCGACTGTTCGAACTCACAGGTGTACGAAAGGGGGGGGGGAGGTAAAATCTGGCACTTGCCAGGGCAGCTGATGGGCTCCGTCGAAAACGCCTATCGGCGCATCTAAATACACGAATTGTGTGAATTTCAGGTTGCATCTCGCAGAAAACTTATCGTACGTCCGTTACGAAAATCAGTCGGTTAAATCTGGCCGAGGAAGCAATCTCTGTTTGATTTGAGAGTCAAACGGAACGCCTAAATACGCTTTGTCCATTTATAGCTAACAGAAAGGACATCATATCTCCATTACAGAGGTTAGTCGGTTATTCAGGGAAACAGTCGCTAACGATAGAGATACATACCAAGCTGACGGCTTAAAAATTGTCCAGGGCCTGGACAGTGCTCACTGGCCTGGGTGTTCATGAACGAATTTGTTGATTCACTTTGCGTGGTAAATTGTGTATACCATTATAATAATGTAAGATTTGAGGCTCTCACAGCAGTGGTAATGGAGAATACTATCTTATGGGATGAAACGTCATGTAGTCCGTTGAAAGTCAGCCGACGTTTCGATGGAACATATGACTGTCTTCGAGGTTCGAAGAATAAGCCGAGGAAGAAACCAGCGTAAAAGCAGGTGGAAAGCAGAATATATCACTATTCATTGTAATAATTGTTTCAAAATTTTGATTTTCTGTTTAATTTAAAGTTTCGCAATTTGACGAGGTAATTTGAGGAGCCTCCACAGAAGGGGGTTCAATAATGATGAATTTAGTTCGGGAGGGTTGCATATGAAGCACGCTATAGCAACTGGAATTTGGAAGTCATCTCACCGTTTCCTTGAAGACAGAAGAAAAGCAAGACAACCTGAATGTTTATTGTGGACAGAAACTAGCGGAACACAGAAATATATTCTATCAGTTTCTGCCTGACAGAAAACACATCTCCATCTCACGCGTCAGTCGGTTCATTGTTACGGAAACAATCGCCATTTGTCGTGAAAACCAACTGGAACGCGTAGATACACTATGGACGAGGTTCGAAGTGGTACTCATGGTTACCAGTGAGTGACACAAGAGGCAGCTATGCGATGCATGCATAAGTCTGTTTCGACACGAGCGCTTTTCAGGTCGTCCGAGAGAGCGTCCATCTTCCAACGGTATAAAAGCACCAGTTGCGCCTCACTTTCATTGCACTTTCTTCAGGCTTGCCGTGAACATTCAGTGTCATGGAGCTTTTGCGAGTAAGTACGGGGACGGCGCAGTGTCTCTCGTGTGTTGGCAACACTCATGTGGTTCGTGCACAATACATTCGTCATCGTCAGATAAATAGTGCAGAAGTATTCGCTTTTTTTTTTGCAACACTTACGGCCTAACATTGTTTACAGTCGAATTTTTGCTTCTTAGTTTTTGGAATTTTCGTTTCTCAGCAAAAGCGATAATTTCTATATGCTCGACTTAAAATTCAGTATGCTTGATAAGTATCTTCTGTATGTATACAATTTTTTTTTCCCAAATTTCGACATAATACGTCAAGAGCTGAGGTGTTTGTAGTATCTGAAAATGTTATGCTGAAATCTACAGGGTGTTCAGTTTTAAATTCTAGTGATAAATACGTACATTTGAAGTCGTAAACTGAAGAGTTTTGAGCGGTCACTCTCTTTGAAGTGTCGGTGTTTATTGAAGTGTGTTCAATGATTTATGATTTATTTCACTTGTGTCACTGGGTTGCTTCTGAGTTCCTTGCAGTTCGTGCCGTTAAAATAGAGCGACATATTGAAATCTTCAGTTTTGACAATTGCAAGCAATGTCACCTTTATGAGAAGTGTACTGTAAGCTGTCTTTCGTCCTAGCCATTGTATGTATATATAGGCCTATTTAAAATTTATTTTCAATCATGTTTAGAAACAACATGTTTTTTCAAAGTTAAATTTGCAATGCAGCAGGCTAAATTAGTGTAACGTAGATTCATTTAACTTCCGAGATAATTTAGTCATAATCAAATAAAGTAAACAGAGCTTTGATACAAGACTGCTGTCTTCTGGGATATGCCGCCGTGCAGTTTAGTAGATATATATCAATGTTTCGTATGAACCTAGTGCCTCCATCTTCATGGTATAAAATTGAGGTAGCATGTTTCTTCGAAACCTTCGTATCTATCTATGCAGATTACGCTGCATCATATCTGAGAAGGCACTAATGATCACTATCACCGTCGTGAGATCCTCATATATCACCATATGTGTGTTCTTCCCTTAATTGGAGAGACCAAATTTTACGCCCATAAATCGAACTCTATTTGATCAAAAATATCTCATCGTATTTAAAATTCGGTTTTCGATATCTCATTTGTTTTATTTGTTCATTTGTATTTTATTGAACAGCGCTATGAATAACGGAGATTATATAACGCGGTATATTAGGATGCTTGGTGAATAATGAATTAGGAATGATATAGGATGGAATAGCCATGTCCTAATTTGATGTTGAGGGTGATTGTGAATTAATATTGGGGTTTCCATGGCCTGTAATTTTCAAACCGGAAACAACAAAACAAAACTGCTTACAGAACATGAAAATGTAATTAAAAAAACTTTATTACATATAGAATGAATACTGTAGCTTGGTAAACAACTTCAACATTCGATCCTTTCGTAGCACCTAAGATTTGAAAATTACAGGTCACAGAAAAATCGACAGTAATTTAGAATCACCTTGTATTGTCGCGGTGTTTGCCTGGAAGGACTGAGGAATATCACAGCCTCAGTCAATGTAGTGAGTGGCCTGGCTCCTTCCGAAGCTTCACACCAGAGCCAGCTCCCTCGGCAGTTGAGTTTTACGAAACACAAGTCTCGCCTCTTCATTACTCCTCTTGTGGTTTTCCTTCAAGGTGGTTGTTCTCGGAATGGCGGTAGTGGCAGTGAGGGCTGGTGTCGTACCAGCAGCTCCTCTAGCCGCCTTCCCCGCCCCCGCTGCTCTTGCTGCATACCCAGCCCCAGTCGCCGCCCCCATCGCCGCCCCTGTCGCCGTCACGAAGCTGGACTACGCCGATTCCTACCCGCAGTACCAGTTCGCGTACACAGTGCAGGACGCACTGACGGGCGACTCCAAGGCACAAGAAGAGACGCGAGACGGCGGCATTGTGAAGGGCAGCTACAGTCTCATAGAGCCGGACGGCGTCCGTCGAACGGTCAACTACTACGCAGACCCGGTGAACGGCTTCAACGCCGTCGTACAGCGAGACGTCCCGGTCATCAAAGCGGTGCCCGCGGCCCCACTTGTGAAAGCTGCCCCAATAGCTGCTTACGCCGTGTAGATCCTGTGTCCTGGTCCCTCGGGAGGCAGTGTCACGTCAGAACCCGAAGGCTGGCGGCCCTTTAAGACCCTGTAATGACGGATTGAAACGCCAGATTTCGATATTTTTGTCAAGATTAGCCCGAGAACTCTGTCTCTTGGTCTCTGACCCAATGTAGTCTGATAGATCTATACCAGCGCTCTAGAGGAACCTCATGCCTCCTACCCTGAAGATGCTGGTAACGACCTACTGGACTGCAAGGCATATCCGCCGTGTAAACCTAAAATCTTGCAAACTGAGGTCACAATTATACCAGATACCAAAAGTGTAGACTTCCAGCATAGACGATCTATCACCGTCAGTCAGTGCTTGCAAGGTGCATATGTGTTTAACAGTTTTATTTCAGTTACAGAAATAATTCGGGCCGTAAAGGACCGGCCGTACCTGTCGCTATAAACAGCGCTGAATAGTGGAAATGTTTCTTTCTCTGTCGCAATGTTTTCCTCGTATTTCGCGGCCTCTTGATCTTAGGAATCGTTTTCTGGGCTCCTAAACATGCAGAGGAAAACACAATTGAAGCTACAGTTTAGGGGAAACTGGGGCAATATCCGATCTCCTGTGTTGTCGCGGCCTTCAGGTTCGGCAGTGCCGTATGCAGCTCTGTGCTTGTCTCCAGATGGAACCAGGATCAACTCAGATGTGCTTCCACACGCCACATCGAATGGCTGCTGCTTGCTGAAGGCTCTCTCCTGTTGTTTATTTTTAGGTTATCTGTGTTGAAATAAAACAGTAATTACAAGATGAACTTCAAGTGCGCATAATTCTCCTTACTTTTCTCCTGCTTATTGCTCTACACACGTATTCGGAAGTTCCTGGGCCGAGACACCTTCTCTTCTCAGATATCGTGATTTTCCTCAGTCCCTGCTAACAAATTGCGGGATAGTACCCTGCCTTGTCTGACACTTCACGCAGTTTTCCTCTGTCCCTTTATGAAATTGTCCAGAAAACTGCAGAATAACCTCCTTTCTAGTTCATGCCAATTATAGTCCTCTTATTCCGTTCAGTTAGCGGTGTGTTATGAACACTAACACCGCATCGTCAGCGGCCAGTGTAGTCGCACTTTGAAAAGTCTGTCTGCCTCATTTATACAGTGGAAGTTGCATAATTCGCATCTCAACTTCCCAATGTTCTTCTCTCCGGTGTAACTATTCCAGAACAATTAAAGAGATATTGTATTCAGTAATTTTAATTTATTGAAACTTTCCCATTTTGATTTAAAATGGGACAGCAATAGCATACACTTCACATGCAGACCTACGTGTTTTGGTGTCCATCTCAGGTGTAACGCACTACAACGTCCATCTAAGCGAAAACTGTTTAGAATGAAAGTTGCCCAGTGCAGTTTTCCCCGTAGGTCTTACAGTTTCCTCATACCCTGTGCCTGTCCCTTCCTATGAGCTCTGCCTCTGCTGATACACTAGTAATGCGTAGTGAGCCCTGCAATGTCAGCTGAAGACTGTGTCGGAGCTGTGTTCTATGCACCCAGGGCCACGTACAACGGAACGCCTTACGGTAAAACTATCACTGTAAAAGGGTGTGGAGGCCCATGAGGTTGTGGGACGTCGAGGCTCCTACATCTTCTAGACAGTCGGCTCACAAATGGCAGTAGTGTCAGCCTTAAGCGCCGGCCGCCCTTTACCCCTACGAAGATTCCTTGTACTCATTTCTGTTAGAGGCTGAGTCGACCCCAGAGCCACAATGCGGCTGGAAGGATTAGCCAAATTGAAAAATTCAATGACCTCATCGGGAATCGAACCCGACACCTTCCAGCTAATAGCATAGTGCTCCCCCCTCTTGTCGGCTTATACACCAAATAAGGAAAACTTATATACCAAAGTTAAAGCTGGGATAACACAGTCGGTATAACTCATTACACATGCAACCGTCATGACCAATGGCGAAATTACACAGGGTTTGAAGCGTTGTCCATCTGAAGGCTGAAGTGTGCCCAAATGTTATTTAAGGACTAATTCCAGCAGTCTGTTATTCCTGTTGAGAGATATGCTACAAGGGCTGTGTTTGCATTTGTTCTTATAACGGGGACTATGAAAAGTAGAAGTTCACCGACATTTCGGAGGATGATACCGCCGCCATCTTAATGAGCAGAAGACCAAAAGGAGAATGCAACCAGCAACCTGTGAAACGTCGTTGAGCTTCTACCGGACTACACGGCGTCACATCCCTGAATCACTGTTTACTGTGAGAACCATAGCTAAAAAAATGAGACTAACTTCACGGAACTGAGTCCTTCTTGAGAAGCCACCAGTTGTGCAGCTACTCAAGAACTTCCCAGCAATTTATGGAACCCGAAGGTTCTTTACCGTGTTCACAAGAGCCCTTCACTGATCCCTATCCTGAACCAGATGGATCCAGTCCATACCACCCCATTCCATCTAAGATCCATTTTAATATTGTCCACCCACCTACATCTTGGTTTTGCTAGTGTTCTCTTTCCTTCTGGCTTTCCCACCAATATCCTATATGCTTTCCTCTTCTCTCCCAATCGTACTACATGCCCTGCCCATCTCACCCTCCTTCACTTGATCATTCTAATTATACTTGGATAAGAGCAGAAGTTATGAAGCTCCTCATTATGCAGTTTTCTCCAACCTCCTGTCACTTCATCTCTCTTCGATCCAAATATTCTCCTCAGCATCCTGTTCTCAAACACCCTCAGTGTACGTTCCTCGGTGACTGTGAGAACCCCACGAAACGCATGCAGTATGTAGGCAAAATACAGTGCTCTTTTAGTGTTAAAGCCAGTCATACTAGTTACCGCCTGGTTATAAAGAGCTGAACGCCATCTTATGTAGCCTGCTGTGTGCAATAAACAAAGGACCAACTTAACCCACAACATTTACCCTGAAACTGGAGGGTTCACTATCCTGGAAAAGAAGTACCTCCGGTAACCTACGTGAAGTGCGCAGGCGTTAATACTAAAACAGCCTCTCCCCTTCTGTCCATTAGCAGTAAGTTCTTACATTACGCAGAAAGAATACGAAATAGAAGCATGGAAAAACAAACAATTCCATGGCAGCTTTCACTTCCTATCAAAATGCTACACGAAGACATGTGCTTGCCATGCAGGATCGGCTGATCAGTATAACAACGTGCAGAAAACATCGGTAGCCATTTGAGCAGTTGTACCTTGAAGAAGTCTGAGATAGCAGGGTTCCGAACCAGCTACTAACCTATCAACAAGACCATAGACTAATTCTTGACTTTGAAGACTTCAGATTCCGCTGAAAACATCACAGAAAATCTCCATAGCAGCCTTGGTCATCGACAGCTACCACAGGACATGTGTAGCAGCATGAAACATGAAACGTAGGAGGTTGGAGAAAACTGCATAACGAGGAAGTACGTAACCTGTACTCTTCGCCAATTGTAATTACGTGTAGAATGGTCGAATCAATGAGGATGAACTGGGCAGGGAACGTAGCACGCATGGGATGGAAGAGGACGGGAAATAGGGTTTCGGTGGGAAAATCAGAAGGAAAGAGACCACTAGAAAGACCTAGACGTAGGTGCGGGGATAATATTAACATGACTTAAGAGAAATAGTGTGGTCAGATATGGACTGGATTGATCTGGTTCAGGATAGGGACCAGTGGAAGTCTGTTGTGTACACGGTAACGAACCTTCGGGTTCCATAAAATGTTGGGAAGCTCTTGAATAGCTGAGCGACCGCCGGCTTCTATAGAAGGACTGAGCTCCATGGGGTTGGCCCATAGTTCGGAGGTTCTTAAGTTACGGTATCATTTGTAGTCAAGATAACTTGACTGTGTTTTACATGGAAACAGTCCAGCACATATCAGTTACTGTATAGCTTATTATGTAACTCCGTGGCCTTTAGTCCGCAAGCGAACTATACCGCCAAGCGACCGCCGCTTATCGGCGAAGTTAGTGCCTACTTTAGCGGATATAGGCTATCGCGTGGTCAGCGCAACGGATCCACACTGCCGTTAATCTCAGATTTCTAGACCGGAGCCGCTACTTTTCCATTCAAGTATCTCCTTAGTTATCATAACGAGGCTGAGTGGAGCCCGTTCCAGACCCACTACTTCTCAGGAAAATCTGGTAGCGTCGGGAATCGAACCCGGGACCTCTGGATCTGTAGGCAGGAACTCTGACCACTAGACCACAGAGTAGGATACAGATATTGGCAGATCTCGTGCCTGTCAGTCAGACCCACTCGTGGTAGAGAATGAATACATTTAATAATAGCAATGTAATTCAATTCCGAGATGGTTGATACCAGTTTCCTTGTCTAGTGCTGTAATAAAGGCACGGACTGTCTGTCTGGTCTGAAAGCAGGGCGCTGACAACACGCAAATCAACATGGCCGCGTATAACACCGAAGGCTATCACAACAGTATATTTATTAATTGTGCATCGTCAGACGTCATGGTTTCCTTTGTTATGAGCTTGGTCCCGACGTGTAATTCAATTCAGCGCTACGCCTGTGCATTGGCGTGCAGATCGCATTCGCCGCGTTGCAACCTCCATACTCGTATTGTTTGCTCTTATAAGTAGGTTTTCATTTGTCTACTGACTGTAAAATGTCCGAAAATGGTGAACAAAGATTATAATCTCAACATGTAACTAAGTGTTACTGCATCTTTACATAGTAATGTTTAGATTACCGCGTGGAGTTTACGATAAGTTGCTCATGTAGTATACGCTCGAAAGAATTAAGTTGTGTGAATTATATTCGTCTGGTGATGATAACCATTGAGAATGGGCGCCAGGATTTTTCAGTCGATGAACTTATATTTGCGACTGTGCTGTGGTCTAGTCAACCAATGAATTGTGGTTCAATTTGCGGAAGCGACAAGAGATTTATGTCTTCTCCACAGCTCTGCGGCCCACCCAGCAACCTTCAGAATGGGTATTGGCGATTTTTTCCCCACGAACAAAGCGGCCTGGGAGCTAAGCCGAACACACACGTGCATCTGGTACCGAGATGGAGTTTAATAAAGCGCAGGGACTTCTTTGCCTCTGCTTTACCTGTTGGCGATCTTCACGAATCTCAGAGAACATGTGGTTGGAATATGTACATTGTATGGTTAGAATAATGATGAATGGATTTAACTGGTGGGCGTTTCTTTAATATGTTATGAAGACCGGACTGCCATCTTATTTGAAGTTCTGGGAAAATATCTTAGGGTAATAAATGCTAAACTCTTCTTCTGTGGTACTGCTACGGTATTAGGTATTATCTGTGTGTATGTATCTTCAAGATAGCTGAAAATAATATGAACTGTTTTTCTTTTGTGAAGTGCGATACACAAATCACATGTCTTCGGGTTACTATAAATGAATTATATGATTTTCAATCCCCGTTTTGAGATATTTTAGCATTATCCGTTCAGAAAAATAATGATGTGATATGTTTAAAATAATAATAACTTGCATTTTTTATAATTTCTTTTCTAAAATGGAAAATACAGAATGGCGATCATGCGCAATGTTTTACGTCACCGAAACCTATTGAGAACTCCGGCTCGAATCTCGGTCTTTCTCTTTTTCACGGCTCTCCTCAGTTCCTTGAATGCATATACCATGATGCACCACTTCCTCCCCCAGCCTTTCTTACAAAGCTGACGGTGTAACTACGCTTTTGCTTCAAGTTCGGAAGGGGTTGGACTGCCGGCTCGGAGGACGGATGCCTTGATTGTTGTGCTTTTAGGGAACTGTAAGATATTACTTTGAAATAGGCCGCTGCCACTTCCTCATCTTACTTAGTTCATCGTCCATGGTCACCTTTCTTGACACTATAACCCATATTAGTTAAAATGTATGAGCTGAAGATATCTGTCTTCTGGGATATAACGCCGTCACAGACGTTTCGGACGAACATGCCTCCGTCTTCAGGGTTAAAGAATAAGGCAAGCAAGAGATTTCTGTTTGCTGCATACTTCACGCTGGTATCTTGCTTGACTTATTCTTCTACCCTGAAAACGGAGACAATATATTCCGGAAACGTCGGCTGATTTCTAACGGACTACACAACCTTAATGTCCTAAAAGATAGACAAAATGACCACTGTTGTGAGAACCTCAAATCCTACGCAGTGTATGAGCTCTTGAATTTGGCGTAGCGTTTGATATGACTACGCATGCTTGAAGCTGTGACCTCTGTGTTCCAGATCACCCGTTTCCCGCCACTGGAAGCTGTCTCATCACGAGAATTTCTCTCGCATGAGGCTCAAACTGTGCCCCAGTCTGACCTTCGATCCCCACACAGACGCTAGTAACCTCAGGGACAACACAGGTGAGTGTGGAATGGATATAGTGAAGGCATAGTTCACAATGAGCTGATGGATACAATAAATATTATTGAAAATTTTAGAAGTCCTCTTATCACGATTGCAACCGGGATAGATTAGTACGTATAGCGACTAAGCTGCGAGCTACACCAAGGAATCGGTGTTCGAACCCGGCAGAGGCAAGAGATGTTAATCTTCTCCACAACATTCAGGTCGGCACTTGGACCCACCCAGCCTCCTGTTCGGTGGGTTCCTGGAGCAAGGCGACTAGGACAGGAAGCTGACCATTCACGTCAATCTACTGTCGAGTTTAAGAGTACGTGGAGCTGTATCTCCACTTCCGTATTTATCTTCATGGCGTGATGCTTAAGTAATCATAGAGACAACTTTATCTTTTACTTGTCATAACTAGACATCAATCTTCAGAACACTTACACTGCATCAGTGTATTTACTTTAGCCTGTCGTTTTCCTCGCAGCCAGTTTGCTCTCCTGTTGGAAGCAGGCTTCGCAATAACTGATTTTATCGCTACTAGCTCGTCATTTGTGTCCGTTCGTACGGCAATATACGTGTATGTGGCCGAGGAGTTCGAAATGAATCTTGGGACTGGACAGACCTGGACGAATCTAGCTTATCGCTTTGAAGAAATGTTTCTTGTACGGGATCCAACGCGGCGGTACAATTCAAGATATTTCCTTCATCATTGACGAGATAGCAATACAATATAGACAAAATTGACCATGTAGCTTCGTCGTGTTTGTCCGCATGTAACAACCCGAGAACCGTTGAACGGATTTTCATGCCTATACAACCAAATTTCGGTAATATTCAGATTTACGTTAATTTACGGACAATTTACGTTAATTTCTTCATGCGTTTCTTGCGCATCTCGATCGTATCTCGTTAAATGTTGTTCGCAGTGAAAATTGTTTTCAAACAAAAGTTGCATAGGAAATTAAACACGCATTTTATATCAGGTACACTTTACTGTAAATTTTATGGTTTTCGGTGTACTTAATGAAAAGGAATTTTTATCCCGTGTCGAAAGTAAGGTACTATCGAATTGAGTCTGGTCAGATTTTAAATTGGAGGTCCTTGGTTTTCCGCCCCTCCTGTTTTGCTCTTATGAGAGTGTATCGGTAGTTAATGTTCGCGATCTAATAATTTTGAGCAACGATCGAAAATTGCGGTCGCCTGGGTATCAGTTGTGACCGAGACATTTTGGCTGGCGACTAATTTCCCATTCGGCATTCAGAAGTTGGCTTTTGGAGTTATGGAAATATCACTCGATCACCTTTGGCATAGGAAATTGCTATAATTTTGCCTTCTGTCATTTGTATTTGCTGATACAGTTTTCTGACTTCTACGCTGCATGTATTTTTTTTTTTTACATTCTTGTCTCTCTGTCTCATGATTTCTGTCTGTTTCTCTCACGAATGCAGCTAACATAAAACGAAATACTGTGGGTATGTATGCCACTGCAGATAACCTTGTAGCTAAAACACGCATGCGCAAATATGGTGGTGGAGACTTCAGATGAAGGCAGTTTTAATCAGAATTCGCTATGTTCATTGATCTGAACATATCAAGTCATGTTAGAAAATGTCCAGTTCGAATCTTGGTCAGCATGCCATCGCACCTATCCAGAATTCTCTTCTTTCTAGGAGAGAGAAGAGTCACATTCTTTTCCTTCTGAGTCCATTTTAAAATTCTTGGTCATCGCTTCATTCCATTCTGTGCTAAATAACGTCTGAAGTTGTTATATCGTCATTAATTAGCCTGCAGAACAATCAGGATTGGAATCTGCCTTGATCAGGTAGTCTCCATGCTTTTACAGTTAAAAATGGCTGAAATATCTTCATGGTTTATTTGAGAATCACTTCATCCACTAAAGCCCAGTTCCACAATCCTTCTTAAACTGAGGCCTCTCAGCTGTTTGTTGAACCCAAAAGTTTATTACTCTGTCGACCAGAGGCCAACATTAGTCCTTTTTCTGAGTCAGATAAATGAAGTCCACGTGCCCACAGTCTGTTTCTTTACAATTCATCCTCTTAGGCTCAGATATTCTCCTCAGCACCCTGTTCCAAAAAAAAGTCTGTATTTCATACCTTGGTGTGAGAGGCCAAGTTTCCTGCTACTCTATTTATAATTTTGTGTATAAAATAGTTTGAAGCTAAATCTCATGTGGTGTTGAAGATTAACTGTATATACTTTGTCAGAATCATGGCCTTTACAACAAGAAATGAGATATTATATGGCATTTTGAATCTTTAATGGATGCCTGCCATTTTCAGTTTAAATCTTCTCTTCTGCTTTCATAAGAAAATTCTTCAAGTTTCACAGCTTTTGTTAGGTTAAGTAATCAAATTGTTGTTATAGTTGCTTGTGCAGTAATCCAACCAGTGAAGCATGCTGACTCGTGTAGGTAACATTTTTGAGAAGTCAGATACCAAATATAGTCCACCCTCTGTGGATTGTCATTATTATGTAGCCTGTTCAAATTTGAAAGGGATGCAGTTATTATCATTGTTATTGAATTAAGAACATAACAATTTATTGAGCAAATAATTTATATGTACATGCAAAATTTGTTTTCCTCCAAACGTTGTCAAAAATACCTACACTCAATAACATGAAAAGTTCTGGAAAACGAAATGCGAGTACATTTATACTAATATGCTCTCCATGGTCTTAGACCTGGCCATTCTTAACAGAATGCACATAACCTTACAAATATCTGCATTTCAGCATCAAAAATTTGTTGTTGTAGTTCATCACTTGTGCCCACCGTGTGTTCAGAAACCATAGTTTTCATGTGACCTCTCACATGGTAATCTAGAGGGCTGAAATCCGGTGAACATGGTGGCCAGTTCACTATATCACCACAGCCAGATCTGCTCTGTACAAATGCTTCATTTCAAATACCCACGGCTCTCAAACCTATTGCAATAAGTCCCATGTTTTTATAATATTTTTCACTCAGAATCATCTCTTGAAGTTATCTCATAAAGTCATGAGACAGTCCATATACTGACCAGTAAGAGGAACTTATTACAATGATAAACAGTCTCATTTCCCATATCTAAGCAGTCTTCACCACAAGATATTACTCCCTAAATAGTGTCGTTTGTATACTTTGTAGGAATGTATAAAGTGTAGCATTGCGCATGTAACTGTATGTTTACGCCACAGGATGTGCAAGCCACATGCAATCAGTCGAGGAGATCCCTCTGTCCTTGAATATCTCATCGGCGGCAGTCCGTGGGGAAACCGAAGAGGACTCACTCCCCGAGGAGGAGCTCAGGATGGTCTCAGAGGCTGAGTGAGTGTTTTCAAGGTTGCGGTGGAAAATCTATCAATCTGAGTTGAAGTTTAATGCGCTTTTGCAGTGGAACAGGAAGTACAATTGTAACTACTCATTACAACAAAAATGTAACCCCTTGATTTAGCCATGGGGTTTTTATGTATGCCACAGCAACCTTTTGATTAATTTTGGCAATTTTAGCAATACTTTTTAACTTTGATATGTAGCATTTCTTATAAGCCTCAAAATCTTGAAAATGGAACTGATTTTCCGTTAATATACTCTTACCATCCCACTCAGTGAGGCATCAAGCTCCACCAGTTGGTCGCTACTCTTTTACCATCCTTTCATTCTCTTGCCGTTGTCGCCGCTGCCGTCGTTGGTCGTTTGGCTCGCAGGTAGGGCGGGCTTTACATGGCTCCACCGCTTCTCCGACTCCACCACTTCTCTTCACTATGGAAAAGGGGTTTCAGGTCCGGGATGGCTTGGATTGTCTATGGGCGCCAGCAACTGTGGATACAGCTGCGAAGTGAAGGGAAAAGGTGGACGGGGTGTGGAGCAGATGGTGATCGGGCTAGTCGTGGGTGGAGTGAGACTCTGGCTCAGGTCGTCTTCGGGCCTTACTCCGACGAGGAGAAAAGAACACACTGGAAACACAAACACTTGGCACCACTTCCTTTGTTGTTTTTATAATCTGGTAGTCACTGCGATACAACTCAGATCGTTACTTTGCTACTCTCGGTAAGGGAGAGCTCGGATTCTACAAAATGAACGGGTTCTTGTTACTTGGTTACACGCTCCTGCAAGCCTTGTCACAATGCACGTTAGTACTATTGCGTAGCACTTGGGGACTTGTACAGGTTACCGCTACCACTGCGTGTATGGTGTTTGAGAGGGTCACTGGTTCGCACTCACTCGCGTTTCTTTCCAATATTAATTTTCCTGATTTAACTTTCGAATACTGAGACATTAATTTCACTTAACAGTCGATCGAGAGGGCTAGTTCCGCATCCGGCGAGTTTAGCTGTTGTTGCGAGACTTTTGAAAAGGAACAAACTCTTCGTTTTTGAAGATTCAGAGGTCCTGTGAAAATTTTGGAACGCCTCGTTGCCATCCTCCAAATCCCCTGGTTGGCTGTATTTAGATAATAGTGGGGAGGGTTCGATAGAGTTTCTCGTTCCTCCAGTGGTCAGCTGTTTCGCGGCGAAAGTTGGGTTCACGCGCTTTCACAGTCTTTCTGACCCGGGGTGGGTCGAGGGGGTTCAATCTCACGGTCTTCTAAGGGTATGTCTGTGACGAATTTGAGGCCTACATTGTCACATTCATTACTCTACACAGAAAAAAGGTTATTGTATGATATTTATAACGTGAATGAAGAGTATTCCGAAGGTCTTCACTACAAGATAGCTGGTAATATTCGGATTCCTAAATCCTTTGACTTCCGTGACCAATCGGGTGTTGAAAAGTGGTCCCTTTCCTCGACTATTGAAACAGTTCGCCGCTCCTTTCTAAAAGCAGTTTTTAACATTTGGAGAGTTATGACCGGTCCGAGGTCCATCTCTCTAAGTGACAAAAGGTTCTCTCCAGCGTCTTTTTGGACAGATTTCTCTTTTATTAGAGCGTAGGGCTCTTTGTAAAAGTAAGGAGAGTGTTGGGCTCGTTTGGTTTAAGTCCGGGGATTGTGACCCGTCATAAACTTTATCTTCTCGGAATTGCGTAAGCAAACTTTCAAGCTGTTAGTTCTTTAGAATTTCTATCTCATACCAAAATACCTTCCTCTTTTTGTGTCAACTGGGCTTCTCTATGTCTCTTTCCAAATTACACAGCATGCTCGGGTAGAAGGGAGGCCTGACTTCCCTTCGTGCCAATTGGGTTCAGGTCCGTCTGGTTTGAGTGTGGTGTGAGGTATTACCTCTGCTTCTATGTAGTGGCAAGTACTGACACAAGTAAATAATAACGGGGTGATCCTTTGCATTGTACGGTTACAATACATATTTCATAATGAATTTCCCCCCCCCCCCAAAAAAAAAAAAATCAATACAAAATTTGACCCCATTTGTTGAGCTTAGCAAAATATGTCATATTGCATGTTCCTGAGAACATTAGACAGGACAACTGACCTCAGGTTTGAATCTTATCAACAGTGAGCTCATAAATAAAGTTGTTTTTCAGTGTTCTGACTGGAGTGAAGATTGGTCTATTGTATCATTTGATTACTCTTTCCATTATAGAAATTGTAGGGTGGAAATTAATATTGGCCAGACAACGTTAAGAATGTCACAGAATACAATGATTGTAATGCTTGTCAGTTTTCTTTCCTTAATAGGCTAAATAAACAGTGGGTCACAAATGGACCCCTTTGGTAGTACATGTTGCTATTTTCTTCTGGTAACTCAAGGGTTAATCCCGAGCATTTCCTCCATCTCCACCTTTACATGAATGTGAACAAAAGAAAAGGCAGGGTGGCATTGTGACAGGCATGAGGGACCAGAGGCCCCAGGGAAGGAGAAGCTGATAATTCAACAGGAGTGCGAGCTGGTTACCCTGATGACAGTGGTGCGTGGTCGGCTGGAACTCACCACAGGATACTTCTACTTCTATGATCTCAGCCCTGTCAAAGAGGACGTGGAGCGCCAAGACTTTAAGGTATTTAGTCATCCTTTGCAAAGATGAGCATGAGGACCAACACTTGAATTGAATTTATCTTGGTACCATTCAGAGAATTTCTATCTGTAGTGATGACATCTATTCTGATAGTACTCTAGTGCTAGGCCTCATACATATTGAGCTTTTAAATTTTTTATTGTTTGTCTTAACTCTCACAGATGGTTTGTGCTGTGCTCTGTTTGTATGTTCCACCTTGTGTTGGTGCAGATGTCTGGAGATATAGAGACTAGCTCTATCAGTTGAGAAAAACTGAGTAAGTTCCACCCGAAGACCGAGACAGAATATAATCCCCGAAACGTTATGTTTTAAATAAAAACAGGACAGCATTTTAAATAAAAATAGGACAATGGATAATGTCCAGAAACACTATAGTTGTATTAATATACTATTGTCACAAACTTTTAAATCTTATTTACTTTAATTGAAGTTCCCGTAGAGATGAACATTAAGATTGTGGTCATCTGAGACTGATGTCTTGTAATCCAGTAGATTGTTAGAGATGTTATGGAGAAACTTATTGCCTCTGTCTTCAGACTTCTTCCCTGAATACAGATGTAACAGGTTCCATGGAAGTGATATTACCCACATACCAAACTATTCGTTCACAGTGTCAGATCTCAGAAGACCACAGGCTAAAGAGAAATTCAACATCATATTCAATTTGTCACATTTCTGCATTATTGAGTAAGAATCTTGGGTACAGTGGGCACTGTCACGATTGCGAGAAGTACACCTGAGAAGGTACAACCTGAGGAGAAGTGCCCTGGAGTTCTTCCTCACTGACCAGACCAACTACTTCCTTAACTTCTCCACAAAGGTATGGAAACACAGTCTTGCTGTAACTTGAGGCAGTGACATTTGAATGAGATATCACAGTGTGTTGTGTGTTCTTACAGACACGTAACAAGGTCTTCACTAGGATCCTGAGCCTTCGGCCCCCAAATCTCTGTCACTACAGCAGCCGAACTCCAGCAGACCTTCTGAGGTCCACTGGCCTCACGCACAAGTGGGTCAATAGGGAGATATCTAACTTTGATTATCTCATGCAGGTGAGTGGCTAGATGGCAAATTTTCTGTGCTGTGGTGCCAGACCAGTATGTACCCCACTGTCTCAACCTCCAGGGGCCTCTTTCCCCAAAGCATGATGCTGTCCATTCCCCTGTACACCCCAAGATACACTGGCACATTTAGATGAGTTTCATCTGTTGAATGTGCTGAAGTAACAGTGGCAACAAGTACATTCAGCATGCAAATTACTTAATGAGAGTCTTCATAGTTTCTACACTTCACCAAATATTATTTATCTATCTATGGCTCCACACTCCTTTTATTGGACCTTGGGCACTTTTTCAGTTACTTAATCCTGTATACAGTCAGTAGGACTCCTTGGACAGGGAATAAGCCCATCGCAAGTCCGCTACCTGCGCACAGAACAACACAAACATAGAATAAACACACACAGATATCCATGCTTTAAGTCGGATTTGAACCCAAGATCCCAACATTCAAGTGAGCGAAAATAGTCCATGCCTTAGACCGCGCGGCCACTGTGATCGTCACCAAATATTATTAGTCTGATGAAAGGAAGAGGATGTGATGAATGACAGTGGCATGCATGCTATTAAATAAATTGGTGAACAATAAAATATGGCAAAGGTATGTTATTTATGGAGCATGCTTTCTGAGACAGTGAATGAATACATATTAGTACATTTCTGTTGGAGAATCTCATCTGAGGGACAATGACAGGGAATGATATTGACGTGGAATATAGAGAAATAGATTCTGAGTATAGAAATTAAATCTATATCTCAACTTAGGAAGATGTTAGTTCCATAAAGTTCCTGTAATAACACATTACATTTATAACTTGGCAGAAGAGGTCCTTGCTGGAAGCCTTCCAACAATGAAGTTTTCCCATACAGTTCCATCATCAGAAGCCTTCCACGGCCAAGCTTATTAATTTTTTGCCACATTACGATTTCCTCCTAGGCACTATATCTTGGCTCTTGATGTACTTTGACATCTCTTCTTTCACACATTGGAATATCAGATGGTAGAAGATTTACATTTTCCCCATACCAAAGTTATGTGTTCTTTAGTTTTGTCACAAGCAAATTTGTAGCCGGCAGGAAGGGAATTTGTTAATCACTTCCTTTAGTATCTGGCTTTAACAGTTGTACATTTTGTTAGTTAATTAGCCAGTTAGTTTGTTAGTTTGAAGGCTGATTTATCCTTGTGGTCTACAGCTGAATACTCTAGCAGGCCGGACATACAATGACTTGTCCCAGTATCCAGTATTCCCCTGGATTGTTGCTGACTACACCTCTGAGGAACTGGACCTCACAAATCCTTCCACCTTCAGAGATCTCTCAAAGCCAATTGGAGTTGTCAACCCCAAGAATGTGCCAGAGGTGCGGGCAAAATACGACAGCTACGAGGATCCATCAGGTGGGAGTCTACAGTCAGATCCATTGACTGGCCTTCTTTAGTGGTTGTATGAATTCAGTAACATGCCTTTGCATAATCTGAATGCAGGATAGCTTGCTGTATCACATTTGAGTTTCTTATGGTGGTCACTCTAAAGTTTACTGTCTTCTGGTGTGTGATACCATGTAGCCTCCTTCCCAGAATACTTCCAGCATGGATTGTTCCCTGTCATGAAGATCGAAGGAGCAAATTCCTCAGAAATGTTAGTACCTTTCTACCAGGAAACAGTAATCTTCATATTCACCACAATGAAAACCTCAGATCTCACGCAGTTTAGTTTGAAATTTCAAAATATAATAAAACATGTTATAGTACAGTTGCCTTTCAGCACTTGATTCAGTTCCTTATGAAGTGTTTGTATTGCTGTAGGAAAAACTGCCAAGTTCCACTATGGTACACATTACTCAAACTCAGCAGGGGTGCTGCACTATCTTGTCAGGGTCGAGCCGTTCACATCTCTCCACATTGAGCTGCAAAGCGGAAGGTATGTTGGGTTACATCTTGCTGCAGGTGCTAATGAAGCAATAATTTTTTCAATTATTCCGTTAAATAAGAAATATTAAAGTAAGTAAGTAGAAGTAAGTAAAGTAAAGGTATCCCTGTAACAGGCCGTAGAGGCACATAGGGTTGTGAGATGTTGAGGTTCCCACATTATTTAGACAATTGGCTCAAAGATGGCGGTAAGGTTGTCAGCCCTATGTGCCGGCTACCCTTTACCTCCATGAATATGCCAAGAATATTCCTGGTACTCATTTCTGTTAGAGGCTGAGTCGACTCCAGGGCCATAGTACGGCTAGAAGGATTAGGTCAATTGATAAAATCCAGTGACCTCATTGGGACTTGAATCCGTGACCTCCGGGCTTGTAGCATAGTGCCTCAACCAACTACGCTACTGCATGCCCCCAAACTTTCTACATGTTAAATAAGAAATATTAACAAGTAAAAAGTATTTTCCCAAAAAGTTAACAGTGATTATGTGTGTTATATTTGGGGCTTAAGGTTGGCACTTGAAGTGTTTGTGTGCCACGTTATATTCCCCTTTTAATATGAGGGACAGTCAGTAAATAGGTTACAAATGGAAGTAGAACAGCTGTAATAGACATAGTGGATTTTTTATGTAGCAGCACAGTACAGTTTCATGACAGCCCAAGTAGGAGACGTGCATGCACATGTTCAGAGGCTGGTTTCAGTAGTCAAAATGGCAACCATGCTTGAGGAGTGTACTACGGAAGAGCACCGTTCTGTTATGCAGGTTCTTTTCATTTGTGTGGGCAAAATGGCTCACTGCAAACGATATTCATAAAGAAATGTTTCCTGTTTATGGTGGGAATTGTTTGTCACATAAAGCGGTTCACATTTGGGCTGAGAAATTGCCACCTTTTGTGCATATGTTTTACTGCTGACAGGTTGAAACACAGGTGTGGAAGTGCCTGAGACAACCGTCAAAAGACTTTTATGCTGCAGGTTTCGATGCACTGGTAAAGCTTTGGGACAAGTGTATCAATGTTAGAGGATATGACAAGAAATAAACATTTTCTCCAGTTCTAATATCAGAAGTTTTAGGTTTTATATCTATTTATGACCTATTTACTGACTCTCCCTCAGACCTCATGATCTATATGTGTTAGAAGGATGACAGAAATGATGTCATAATTAGGATCACATTTTGTACTGTTTTGCTTCATCAAAAAGTGGATAATTTCTTGAGTCACTGAATATTAATTCTTCAAAGCAGACCCACATCATGAAGTTAGTTTGTTGGTTAGTTGGTCAGTCAGCCAGTGATGCTGTCTTTTCATTGGTCATTTAGTTGCTAGAGAGAGTAACAAAGTAACCAGTATAGTTTCTTGTGGAAGTGTTGTGACCAAGGCAAGGACTGTGTACTGTGTAGAAGTGTTATCTTGCTTCAGCAACTGAAGCACATTGCTCCCCATTACAGAACTGTGTGGCAATGTGACATATCACACAAACACCATGCTGTGTTGTGTGTGCAGGTTTGATGTTGCAGACAGACAGTTCCACTCCATCCCCCAAACATGGAAGCTGCTGATGGACAATCCAAATGACGTAAAGGAACTCACACCAGAGTTCTTCTATTTCCCGGAGTTCCTCAAGAATATGAATGGGTAAAACTTTGAATGTGGTGGTTATGAGGTTTTGGGGTACAGACATTGAGCAGTATATCTTTTGGTCACTGTGTATTAAGCATATTTCTGTGTGATGTTGACAGCTTTGACCTAGGACTTCTCCAAGGAACAAAGGAGCGTGTGAATGATGTGATACTGCCAAAATGGGCCAGCAGTCCAGAGGACTTTATTTACAAGCACAGAAAAGCTCTTGTAAGTAAAGCATCCTACTGAAGGGTATATGCTGGTGATGCGTACCCCTGCACTCTGTGACACTGGTTTCATGTTACAGGAGTGTGAGTATGTATCTCAACATCTGCATGAGTGGATCAATCTCATCTTTGGCTACAAACAGAAGGGGCCAAAAGCAGTTGAAGCTCTCAATGTGTTTTATTACTGCAGGTAACATATTTTTCTTCTTCTAGCATCATTAACATTTTATATGGGTCAGGTGACAAAATGTCTTCAATCTCAGTTCTGTTCTCACCATCTTCCCTTTTCAAATTATTGCCAGCCCTCTCCTAAACTATCTTGTTTTTGCCATGCCATATGTGTCCTTCCTTTAAATATAAATTCTAATGTCCTTTCTCAGTATCCTTTTCCTAACCATTCACTTCACATGGCCAAACTACTATAATTGTTTCTCTTCTAAATCGGTTAACAAATTTTGCATTAAAAAATTGTCATAGCCAGCCTTGTTTCAGCCATTTTAATCGCATGCCGTGAACCACATTGACCTCTTTTGGAAGATCGGGTTGTTATATCTTTCCCCAGTTCTTGCTTAGTTCTAATTCTACAGACCCTTGTGGTTTCATTGCTAGTTTGAGAAATATTTTTTCCTGCAGCTATGAAGGTGCAGTGGACTTAGATGCCATTTCAAACCCTGTGGAGCGGGAGGCACTTGAAGGAATGATCAACAATTTTGGGCAGACCCCAAGCCAACTACTGAAGGAACCTCACCCCCAACGCCTGTCTCTTGAAGACGCCGTTACCAAGATGCTTAAATTGGAGCTGAGGAGGACAGACTTCACATTATTTCTTGATAATCTGCGACCCATCCCCATTGAGGTTAGATTTTGTAGTACATGACAGCCAATCAGCGGTCAGAGAAACATGACATTCAACCACATAACTTTGTACAGTTCTGAACACCTGATATTATCCAACTAAAACACAGTAAGTGTAACTAACCAAATAACTGCTGTATCTACATTCATGTTATGGCCTTCTTGGTTATGACTCTATGTATCATATGGTAAGTGGGCACGAATATTTTTGAGTAGTATACTGCTGCATCTTTAGGTCAAAATTGAGGTGGACTGAGAAATATAGATTTTTGTTCCAAAGTTCATCAGAATACACCCAACCAGGAATTTTGATAATGACAGATGAATAAGTTCTTGCCAAACTTTTGAATGATTTCTTTAATGGGTCTTTGTATTTGTGTAAAATTTTTGTATTCTTGGTGTAATAACTGCTATGAATATCCTTCGAAATTATTAGTATTTATTATCATGGACTACAAAGAGCATCCAAGCATGTGATATTAACCCATTAAAGCATACTGGTTACTTACTTTATGTACCACCTGCTGTAACATTCAGAACTCTCCATTTTGGCCACACAATGTATTTGTATGTTGTACATGATCCTCAGAATAAACATCAATTATTTGTTTAAGCAGCATTTGTAATGAAAATGAAGTATCTTTTTTGTAATGTAGGAACATAATTTTGTAATAGTGTTATATTTTAGCATCCTGTTGCACTGATTTAAGTCCATGATTTATTTAATCCGTCTTGCAGTGCATACACTCATTTATCTCCTTCTCTCCCTCACACTACATGTTTCGGCATAATAATGCCATCTTCAGGTGCTTACTTATCCACGTCAAACCAGTTCATTGCATGCCATGTTCACACATTAAAATAACTAAAATATGTATCTATCATATANCAACAAAGGAGAATGGGCGTGACTGACGTAGTGAGGGGCGACGTAGCGATGTGGTATCCTGAACAATTTTAATATTTTTAACGTTTGACAATGTATATGATAGATACATATTTTAGTTATTTTAATGTGAGAACATGGCATGCAATGAACTGGTTTGACGTGGATAAGTAAGCACCTGAAGATGGCATTATTATGCCGAAACATGTAGTGCGAGGGAGAGAAGGAGATAAATGAGTGTATGCACTGCAAGACGGATTAAATAAATCATGGATTTGTAATAGTGTTTAGATTAACTTCAGGCTTCAAAGTTTTAATGCTAAATAACAATCTCAGTTAATACAGTTTGTGATATCCATGCTCCAGGTGTCAAATGAGAAGGACCCAATTGTGTTCGTGAGTTCCCCGCGTTCTCCGCCACGTAGCTTCCTCCAGGTGGGACTGGCAGACACGCTGTTGAGTGTATCCAAGCTGGGAGTGGTGGGGACACATTCCTGGCACCCACATGACCGACATGGTCCCAGAGGCTTCACCCTTGATGTTGATCCTACAATTAACAATGCCAAGTATGTTACATTAACGGCACGCGGGAGAGAGCACGGACCATTGACTTCAAGTTGGTGTCCTTCACCCTCTATCAGACTATATTTTTTTGTTGCTAGTGGGGTGGGACTAAGTCCCTTGTACTGTGGCCAATTCTGGCCTATTGTACCAGCCTCAGATGATAGGTGAGGGTGATTGTGGAGCAATTGGTGGAATGAAGATTGACAGGGGAAACCGAAGTACTTGGAGAAACCCTGCCCCAGTGCCACTTTGTCCACCACAAATCCCACTTGACCAGACCCGGGATCGACCCCGGGCTGCCGCAGTGGGAAGTCAGCGACTAACCACTTGAGCTATGGTGCGTCTTTATCAGACTAAATCGTTCTATGAAATTATTGCTTCCAGCCATAGCCCTCAGGAAGGTTTATGTTTAATTTCTTCTGCTAGTCACATCAGTTGGGAGAGTAGACTAAGTTCTTGATGCTTTGATAGTTTCTTCATTGTCCAGACCAGCTCTGGAACCCATCCAGCCTCCTATACAATGGGTATCAGAGATCTTCCCTAGGGATAAAGTGGCAGAGGCATGAAACTGACCACTCACCTCTGTCTAGTGTCAGAGTCAAGAATGCTGGAACTATACCTCCACCAACCCATTTGTCTTCATGGCATGGTGTTTAATTAATTAAGCACAGGTACAGCTTTACCCTTGCCTTTACCTTCTCTTCTGTGGCGCTACAGCCCCAATTTTGGGCCTAGGCCTACCTCTGTGAAACTCTCCATTTCACTTCGGTTTACTAGATCTTACACATTCGGTAGGTCTCCTTGGGCGAGTGATCAGCTTGTTGCAAGGCCTCTACCTGTAGACAAACACAGAAAAACGCACACAAACATCATGCCCTGAGTGGGATTCGAACCCACGATCCCGGCTTCTGAGCGAGCGAAGACAGTGCATGCCATAGACCGTTCGGCTACCGTGACTGGCTGCCTTTACCTTACAGCCATATATTTTCCTAGTGGTTGGTTCTTAGAGGCGTGACAGTGAAAGAATTGAAACACCTGTACTCATATGTGGCCAGTATACACTTCTGGCATACAGTTTTATAGTGTGACGTGTTGCGCTATTGATGATGCCCCTCCCTCCATACCAGCCGTGACGTGCTGAGCGGAGCCGAAGTGAGCCGAGTCCCAGCACACTGGTCGCTATGCAACATGAGTAAACAGCGGTTGCTAGGCAAAACGGGTAAACAGTGGTTGCGAGAGACGACGGCAATAACAGCGGTAAACAGCGTTGCTAGCACGATGAAGGCAGACAACAGTGGTGCCTATGACATGGCTGTTTTCTGTGTTGTCCGGAACGAGGCTAAATAAGGAGCAAAGAAGGCTATTCAAGACAGTTCTCCATCTAGCCAGTGGAGAGTAACGAGTTAGCCAGGAAGTCAACCAGTCAATTGTAGTCTAGCATTTGCACTGTAGTATTTGTGATACTGCAGATGGCAGTAATTGTTAGATTGTAAATTGTGTGATTGTAAGAGCGAATGTGGAATAAAATTCGCTATACCCAATACGGCGTGAATTTATTTGTTGTGTTATACACCCAACACATGACAATACATTAAGGCATTTTAAATGTTGAGCAGTTTCTAACACTTCCCATGCTATGGATGGGATATCACATGCAAAAATATTGCACATCTTTACTGAAAAATTAAGATGCAGAATAATGTTAATATAATTATGCTTTTATGCCATCTTTTGCTATATGTTTCAGTCAATTCACTGTTTTAAATTTAGTCACAAATTATAGGGCAAAGTAGGAACATTTCTAATAATTAACATTCATCATGAAATGGGTTTCATTCATCTGTGTTGCGTTGCAGAACTAGAAAGAAGTTGTCAGGCCCCTTCCACCCGAGCTTACCACTCAGCAGTCACTTGTTTGTCGTGTCGAATGATGCCAAGTTCCTGTTCAGTGGTGGTTATTGGGACAGTAGCCTGCGAGTGTACAGCCTTGCCAAAAGCAAGACTGTGGCATCTGTCAGGAGACACTTTGGTGAGTGTTGCACATGTATGAGGAGGTGGCTGCATGGACCAAAAGAAGCTTTGGTCATTAGAGGCAGTCTCAGGAACTGATCTAATGACATTGTAACATGAACAGAGTCAGTTGTGTTACTCTGAACATTTCAGAAAATATTTCTATTCTGAGGTAAGTCTCAGACCTTATGAGATTTGAGGTTTTCATTGTAGTGAAAAATCATATTGTGTTCTTGGTAAATGGCTTGTGTTTTAGATGGGCTTGACCAACACTATCCATTGGCCCACCCAGGGCTCTGCCCCCTCCACTCCATCTCTGTCTCTGATGTGCCACTATTTCTGTCTTTCATGACACATTCTGAACATGTCTCTTATATAGCCTCTCCATTTCCATACCAGGTTCACTTGTATGCTGAAGTTGGAAGCAATGTGATCCTCAGTATGAGAGTGCACAGTGCTGTAGCCCAGGAAACTGTAACATGGACATTCACTGCTGTGAGAACCTCAGATTTCATATAATGTGTGGTGATTTTGTATAGTAGTAAACCAGAATGTTGTAGAATATCCTACCTTTTCTAGTTCCAGCCTTACTCCTACAAACTGAAAATTAATGTTGCACAAAAAATTATACTGGAAAAATACTTTAGTCTGATGGAACATAAAACTCTACCTTCTGGTGTTCCTGTACATGAATTAGTATAATTTGCATCAAAGAACATACTTGCTTACTTACTTATGGGCTGAGCCCTTCTTGAGGAGAAGCCAAATCTGCAGCTACTCATGAATTTTCCAGCATTTTATGGAACCTGAAGGTTCATTACTGTGTTCACAAGAGCCCTCCACTGGTCCATATCCTGAACCAGGTCAATCCACGCTGATATATTGGGTTTTTGGACTTTATCCATCGTCCTGGTTTTTAAGATAAATAAAAACACGACGTTTCAGAAACTGGATCTTTTTTCGTCCTCAGGTGAAGGAAAACACCTATTCTGTTGGGTCCGTTAGAAAGAACTAGCCTCAATCACCAGACGATCCAGTGATTGAGGCTAGCTCTTTCTAACGGACCCAACAGAATAGGTGTTTTCCTTCACCTGAGGACGGAAAAAGATCCAGTTTCTGAAACGTCGTGTTTTTATTTGTTATCTTAAAAACCAGGACGATGGATAAAGTCCGAAAACCCAATATATCAGTGTGTTATACACCATCGTCAGAATCCTATAGTAACTACAGGTCAATCCAATCCATACCAACCCATCCAATCTCTCTAAGATCCATTTTAATATTGTTCACCCACCTACACCTTAGTCTTCCCTGTGGTCTCTTTCCTTCTGGCTTTCCAACCAATATCCTACATGCATTCCACTTCTCCCCCATTCGTGCTACATGCCCTGCCCACCTCATATTCCTTGACCTGATCATTCTAATTATACTTGGAGAACAGTACAAGTTATGAAGCTCCTTATTATGAACCTCCGATGGCTTCATCTCTCTTTGGTCCAAATATTCTCCTCAACCCCTGTTCTCTAACACCTTCAGTCTATGTTCCTCCCTTAATGTCAAAGATCAAGTTTCGCACCCATACAGAACCATAGGCAAAATTATAGTTTTATATATTCTAATTTGTATGTTTTTGGACAGCAGACGAGAAGACAAAAGGTTCTGGACTGAATGGTAGCAAGCATTACCCAAGTTTAATCTCCTCTTAATTTCCTCCTCAATAAGGTTGTTATCATCATCCCCAAATATCTGAACTGTGCCACATTTTCAAAACATCTGTTACCTATCATTATGTCATGATTTTGCTCTGCATTTTGTCAGAGAGCATAAAGAGCAAAAGTAGAAAACTCAGCAACTGATCATAACATGGTGGTAAATTCATGGGTAGAGGTGGAAGATTTCTGGTAGAGGATGAGAAAGGATTCTTGGTGTTCCTCAAAATGGCAACCTCATTTACACTGTGTCCTGCATTTATAAGAGATTCAGAGTGGACGCAGAATGCGAACACAGTTCTCTGGCTTCTGACAAGGATTGTACTTCCATGTATTATGCATCATATGTTAACATGAATGTTGACAGACCTGGTGACATGTGTTGCCTTGGACCAGTGCGGGTCATTTCTTATCACTGGCTCCAGAGACACAACATGTGTGGTGTGGGATGTGAGTCATCTGGGAATGGGCAGCAGTTCAACCATCCACATGACTCCACGACCCGTTCAGACACTGTATGGTCATGACAAGGCCATCACATGTGTGGGAATCATGACAGAATTGGACATGGCTGTGTCAGGGTCACTGGTGAGTTGAACTGATGTGCCACCTTGTGAAACATTTTGTGTTTGCGTTACAGTGAGATCCCAATATTTGTCTTTTACCAATTGAAGCTCAATATAACCAGTGTATTATTTAGTGAATTTTTATTTCTAATGTAAAATGCATTTAGTATAATAAATTTTCAGCCTTCCAGAACTTTCACCTTGATTTAGTGCAGTTGTGGTCAAAACAACAAATGATATTTGTTTTCTCTCTGCTGGAAATCATTACTGATTAATTTAATATTATGATGTAACTGTACTTATTTGTCGAGAAACAGTTTCATTGACTGTTTATGTAAAGAAATTGTGTTATCATGAAGAGTACTGTCTTCTGGTATGTGACACCATATAGTCTGATAGAACTTTACTGGTGTATTGGTGGTACATACTGCCTCTATCTTCGGGGTAAAAGAGAAAGCCAAACAAGCATAGTGATATTACAGTAATTATAAACAGTAAATATTGTAGAAAGATGAACAACTTGATATAATTTTACATAAATCCCATTTGCTGAAAACATGGATTTAGTGTAAGAAAAGCCAGTACCCTGAAGATTCATTAAATAAGGATTTTACCATAGTTAGTTAACAGTTATGGCAATGCTGTGTATTTAGCTCATATATCACAGATACAGAGAGAAACAGCCACTGGAACTAGAATGGAACTTATTTTGTAAGTGCAGAAGCTGTGGGACTGTGAATTTGTGGGAGAGTGTAGTGTCTGTGTAAAATAAACCCTCCAACTTACTTTTCTGCACAGGATGGCACAGTGAATGTGCACACAATACAGGAGGGCCAGTATATGCGCACTCTGGAGCCAGTTGCTTGTGAAGGACTGAAAACAGAGATTACATTCCTTGCCCTGTCTTCACAAGGACACATTGTGTTCTCTGCCACTGACAAGGTATGACAAAGAACCTCTTCTGATGTTGTAATAAGTCTTAATTATCTGCTAAGTAGTTTATACTCCAAGGTCAGTACTTCATAGGCTAATTAACGATTTCATTTTCAAGACTATGTAGTGTTGAATGATGGAATGACTGATGAATTAGAAGAGAAATGGAAGGAAATAATAACAACCTGTTGAATGTGCTATCCCAGTATTTTACTGGGGAGACTGAGGAAAACCACAAAAAACATCGGTCATGATTGCCATTGTCCCAACTGAGATTCGAACCAAGCACCTGCCAGGTTCAAGTTTTGAGCATTGAAAAACTTTGCGAACAATTTCACATTTATCTAAATACTAATCAAATGAACACAGAAAACAGTAAATGATCATAAAATTTATTGAAATGTATATTGTATATTATGTACATTTTATTCATAATTTTGTTTGTACAACACTTGCTTATGTATCTTTCACTGTACTCTACAAGACATGAAAACAAGAAAAGATCAACAGAATTACATGTCATTCCACTTTCATATTTACTACTTTCAGTATCTTGTTCCCCTTTGTTTTATGTGCTTGTTTATTTTGCCTGATGTCTCCGAATTATGGTGTAACTGTGTTCTTCTTGTTGTATAAGCATTTGGAATGATTCAGATGTGTTCATTATGCTCAGATGAGTCATTCGGTGCACGTGTTCTCTGTAAATGGTGTGAGTCTTGGATCCAAGTACGTGTCGGGGCGAGTCACTGGGCTTGCCGTAGCAGGAGATTATTTGGTGGTGGTTGATGATGCAGGAGACCTCACCATGAGTAGGATTCTTGGGTGAGCACAGAATTATGTTCTCCTTTTCATCAACATAGTTTGCACACTGTGTTTCGCTGAGCACTAACCCTTCTCAGTCCTGTTGTTGCTGACTGTAACACTTGATTCCTCTGCAGGTTGAGGCCAGTCTATGATATTCCGCTCCATGTTCCAATTCAGTCCGTAGTGGTGACCGCAGGGAACACACATCTTTTAGTTCCAACACGAGAAGGCAACATCATAGTTCTTGGAGTCCTATGTAGTAGGGACGCTAAATAGAAACTCACATGGTTGGTAGGTCACCAGGGAGTTCATTTAGAAGCATTTACTGTCATATATATGCAGAATGGATATAGGCCTTTATGGCATGGTGCTTGTTTAATTAAGCACAAGGATGACTTTTCCTTTGCTTTTGCTTGTGGTAAGTGAAGTAGCTTGTAGCCATGAAGCTGATCTAGAATCATATAACTCCAATAAACACTACATGTAACACTTACTGATCCTGAAACCTAACATATGCTGTACTGACATGTTGCTTGTATCTAAACATAGGGCACACAGATTATAAAACTGAAATGGTTAAAATATTCAGTCCTTCATCCAACTATCAGGTACAATCTTCCCATTTTGTATTCATATGATGATTATATATTTAAAGTATCTGAGTACAGACTTATCGCTCTCCATCTTTGATGCTGAGGTCACATAATTGTCACTAAATTGCTTCTCGAAGGAGTGCCGTCTAGTGATAACATTATAAATTATATGTCATACTGAGTTTATGCTGAGAGACATTTTAGAAACTTTGTTGTAGCATTTGCAAATAACTTTGTATTACTGGTTTTGTGGACTTTGTCCATCGTGTGGTACTGTGATGAACAGAACACAACAGTTTGGAAACTGGATTGCTTCCACAATCAGGATGAATAATCTCTGTCACTGGAATAGTGACTGAGTTGAGTTTGTTCTGATGGCCCCCCAAGTAAGTATGTGAATCCCAATCATCTTTCCACCTAAAGACAGAAACAGGCCCAGTTTCCAAAATATTATTTTTTTTCGAGAATACTAGATGGTGGATAAAGTTCAGAAACTCAGCAATATTAATTGTTATAGGACTGAAATGATTGTTTTATGCTCTTCACATGCTTTTTGAAAGTGCTGCCCAGTGGAATTTCTGAGATGAGAAAGCTGGTCTGTGAAGTATTTTCCAAAAGTGTTGTCATCAGTCTCTGGAACTAGATACCTTATTTCTAGACTGTGGGTTGCATCATAGCTGACATCTGCAGTGCCTTGTCTTGACATAACAAGCAGCCTGTTGGTCCAGCTGTGTGTACAATTGTGTAATATTGCAGCATTCCTTACCATTGAAGATGTGTTATGAATTAAGAATCCAGAATTGTGGACTACATCAAGTTACATATTAGTTCATGATGTGATTGCAGCTGCCAGAGAGTGTTATATATTCAGTAAGAAATGTTGTTAAGTCGAATATATTGTTTATATATTGTATGAATATTTTATTTTTTGTTGTTTATTTGCTTGAAAGGACAAGATGATTGTAATATAGGAATGATTTCATTCCAAGCAAATACTTCTTCTTCTGAACTCAAGACTTGAATGCAAATAACAGAGTAAAAAAATTCTGTGTTCAGACATCAACAAGGTAGAAGATAATTTTATACTAATGGTGCTTGTGCCTGGTAAATGTATCAACATTAACCCTTTCCCATTCTTCTTATTAGAAACCTCATTCCTATCACCTACAACTTGAATTAGCACACATTTTAAGAAAGGAGAAAATTTGTTTAAAAAAAAATATAATATTCCTGGTTTCTGCTCTTCTTGTACATGAACTATCAGAAGATATGCTAAAGACTATAAAAAGCAAAGCTGTAGCTCAGTACATTTTTGTAATGTCCCAGAAAGTGAAGTTGTAAAGGAAAATTATATCAGAAGCCTTATAGTGTCACATAGGAAAGGATTGCTGATATGAGTAAAATATACCAGACAGCTAAAGGAAGTTTACTGAACTGCAGGATTATAAGTTCAGTGTTCTGAAACTGTATACTATACTTTTATAATCATGAATCAGTGGAAGAGGGATGGGGTTAATGGTTCTTGGGTGACATCAAGATAGCAAGCAGCACATGCTGCTCTAATAACATCAGGTTGGGAAGTAGTGCTTACTGCTGTAGTCCAATTAACCCTTTCATTGCTAGTATGTTAAGTAACTCTCAGTACCCACTGTGCTGAATTATTTTTGAATAAATCTTTTATAAATAATTTAAGTGCAAAGTATGAAAATTTGTGATAAAATGTAACTAATCTTACCTCAGACAGGGAACAGGCAGCAGAAATTGCAAAGATGTTGAATTATTCAGTATTTTTCACAGGAGAAAAGTCCGTTTAAATCAGGATTGTCCAAGATGGTCAAAAAAGTACATACTTCACTATCCTAGTCTTATCACTATGTCACATGTTGACCAAAGCCCACAACTATATTTAAAACTATTATAGAAAGCACCGTGCACTATATGAAGCCATTTTTACTAGCCCTGTGAAATACCTGTGTCACATGACCACGGAGCATGTGCCTCACTGTGCAGATGCAACCTTTTACATTTCTTAAGCTAGAGGGCAGAGGAATGCAGCCATTGAAATGAATGATGCTTCATTATGTTCCCAATACATGACTCTATGCACCCGCTAAGTTTGAACGAGATTGGTGCAAAGAAACCTGAGATTTGAAACTCTAATATCACAGCAAGGACGCGTGTTTTACAAAGATCGATATATGTGGACCGCAGCAGTGTAAGGGTTAAAGGCAGGCAGCTTGCTGATGTCAGATTTGAGGATTTTAGGGCACTGTAGATTTAGAATGTGGTGTTACTGGTTATGACAGCGTGCATTATGGTAGGTTGTTACCAGCATTTCATAGGACAAATACTGCCTTCGTCTTCACTTCTGCTCTGATGAGTACAGAATGTCATGACTGAGGAGATGATAACTGGAAACTTCCTGACAGGAACATTTTTACTGTTATAATTTTCTTGCTCCAGAAGTTTGAAGAGAAAATTTCTAAGTTCACCTATTGCATATCCTCAGTTTATGGTTACAATGATCCTGTTGGCAGTATTATGGAGTACAGATTCCTGCATTCCAAGGAACTTGTTAAAACTTCTGAGAATCTGGACTGTGTGTACTTGGTGAAAATGTAGAAACTCTCAGTTTGCTGATGTGACCAGTTATACTCGTACACTCAAGAGTATATTCCATCAACTTACTGCCACCCATGACAACTAATCTGTATGACACTTTAATGACTGTGCTGTCAGGGCTAGGATTCTATGATGTTTGTATCTGTATAACATCAACACAGAAATGCAATGTATATACTGTTCTGTGTCTTACTATAACATAATATTCTTGTATAGTTCCTTTGTGGCTTATTTTGGAAATATGATATTTATTTCAGTGGCAGTAAATTTGGGGAAATGCTGATGAATGTAATTATATACACTCGGTGGTGCTCCCAGTTTATCTCAAACTGACAAATTTGAGCTGTTGAATCTTCAAAAGCTCTATGAACATGTGTCTAGTTTTATCCACCTGATATCTTTTATCAGTGTGCACTCACATAGAAGATTTGGATTCTCTACCCATCAATGTGGACCAATCCATGAAGTTTAATTTTTTGAAGTGCTGTCTAGAAAAAAAATGTGCAAAGGTAATGCCCCAAACTCTTTAAAACAAAACTAGAAAAGGAATGATATTAGTTTATTGTTATTGTTATGAGTGTGGTAACACTGAGTTCCTGGACACTGCAGCTACAAGTTGTCCTATCATACCAGCACCTCATGATGGTAATACATCCCATACATTGGTTTTAACTTTTATTTAAACTTTAGTCTGAAATCATAGATTACAGCAGATGCAGCAATTTTGTAAATTAAGATTACCAGCACAAAGCACAACTGAAATTCATAGGATTAACTTGTACGAGGGTAATTCCAAAAGTAAGGTCTCCTATGTTTGAAAATATAAAATAAACATTTATTTTCAATTTTGGATACATCAGTTGAATCTTGAACATGTACTCATTTCTCTACATAATCGCCATTTCGGTCGATGCATTTTTGTAGGCGCAGTGGCAGTTTTTGTATGCCCATGTCATACCAGTTCACCTCCATGCTGTTCAGGAAACTTCGAACCTCAGCTTTCACCTCATCGTCGTTGTTGAAGCGCTTTCCAGACAAATGTTCTTTCAACTTTGGAAAGAGATGGTAGTCACTGGGCGCCAAGTCCGGACTATAGGGTGGATGGGTGATGATGTTCCATCCAAACTGTTGCAGTTGAGCGACGGTTTGTCGGGCAGCATGGGGGCGAGCGTTATCGTGGAGAATGCTTACGCCCTTGCTCAACATCCCTCTTCTCCAGTTCTGAATCGCCCACCTGAGTTTTCTCAGTGTCTCACAATATCTCTCAGCGTTTATTGTGGTCCCAGTTTCCATAAAGTCAACCAACAATACCCCGTTTCGATCCCAAAACACAGTTGCCATGACTTTACCGGCAGACTGTGTTTGCTTGAATTTTCGAGGCTTAGGCGAAGAGGAATGCCGCCACTGACGTGATTGTTGTTTTGTCTCAGGTGTGAAGTGGTACGCCCAGGTTTCGTCGCCTGTGACAATTGAATTCAAGAAGTTGTCCTTTTCGTCAGCATAGCGGCGAAGAAATTCACGGGAAGAGTCAACTCTCTGCCGTTTGTGGTCTTCCGTGAGCATTCGCGGGACCCATCTTGCGCACACCTTCCGATAATTCAACTTCTCTGTCAAAACCCGATAAATGGTGGTTCGGGAAACCTCGGGAACCGAAATGCAGAGATCATCGAGTGTGATGCGCCTATCCTGACGCATGACTCGCTCAATCTTCGCGACTGTCTCATCAGAAATTAACAGTCTCCCAGTTCCTTTTTCGTCGTGTATTGCAGTACGACCAGATTCAAACTCCCTACACCACTTGCGGACGTTCTTTATGTCCATGCACGACTCGCCATACACTTCCACCAATTGACGATGAATTTCAATTGGTTTAGTCCCTTTTGCGTTCAAAAACCAAATAACTGCGCGAATCTCACACTTCGCGGTTTTAGTAATCGGGAGCTCCATTTCTAACGGCAACCGTGCCAAGACTGAGCGTCCTAGCTACGTGCGCGCATGCTTGGTGGTACTGGGGGGAGTGGGGGAAGCAACGAATGCAACAGGGTTGCCAACAGCCGCACGAAAAATTGCCCAGCGCTTTGGAGACCTTACTTTTGGAATCAGCTACGCAGCATATGTTTTGAGCAACTTTATCATGTTGTGCACTCAGAGATAAGCTAGTCTAGCAACTATGCTGAAACAAAAGCGTATAGGTAGAATTTCAGAAAAGTTTGCTGCTGCCTGCCTTTCCTCATTAGCCCCAGATTGTAATAATTTCCTAAAATTTCATGTAGCAGAGTGCACCATTTGTGAACATTGTTGATGAATTCAGTTAAGGTTTGGAGATTTGTGGGTTATGTAGACACTTATCACACAGCAATTAATACTTTGTTTACAGTATTACATATGTGTTGTGATCCTGTAGTCTGTTGATGGAAGATGCTACCTCCAGGTTGTACCCTGGCACTTATCTAACAGACTACACTGTGTCACATCCCAGGAAACTAATCTTAATTATCATACATATTTATTATGTAGGTAGCCAGCAGGCTGACATAGTGGTAACACTCTAGACTTATACAAGGTGCTTGATTCAAATCTCACCTGGGTAACTGGCTGTCTGGACTGAGGTTTCTTGTGGTCTTCCTCATCCTTTCCAGGCAGGTACCTCTATTAGACTGTGACCACAATTCTTCAGTCGTACTGCCATTTGATGATATGTAGTCTGAGATACTGGTAGCATTGTAAAATAAGCCACAAAAGATGTTAGAGCAAAAATTAATTTCTGTGTTTGAGACATTTATGAATAATAGGCATGTTTTTAAGAAAAAATAAGAACAGAATTCCAAACCAGGTTTTGCACATGAATCTAAAAGGAAAACAGCAAAAATGAAGACCAAGGTCAAGATGGAATAACAGAGTGATGAGTACTGGAAGAAACTGAGGAGGAGTTTTGGGAAGATGGGATAGATGGATAGACTTGGTATGCTAGGAGAGACACACAAAGTGGAAATGTGTAAGGAAGAAGAATAAACAAATAGGTGAAAGTTATTTTGTGCCAGGTTATTGTTTGTAATAGACCTGTGATTTTCAAAATAAGGTATATCCAAATTTAATTTTTCTTTGAACCAGACATGACTGCTGGATAATAGGCAAATTGGAAGCTGTAGGCCAAGAATACTTTTCAAAATATGATCACATGATCTCATACAAAAATACTGCACATCCAATGTTGTCAACACTGAAAAAAGGGGGAATGACTAAGTGAAATATAGAAACATTTATTTGTTATATTCAGTGCTGTTTGATTGGTAGCATTGTACTTAAAGTTACTGTATTTTTTATTCTCTGCACAGATATACTGTATTTATACTTACACATTAACAAATATTTCAATTGTAAATTTCATTTAAATATATCCTCACTAGATGATTTATGAAGTTACAGTAATACCATCTTTCATTTTGTTAACGAACACATTTCACCACAGCATTTTCAATTAGATGATAACCCAGTTAAGTTATTTGGAAACATGTTGGGTTCACCATAAGTAAAAGTGATATTAAGTGTATTTTTTTTAAAAAGTCCCAGTTTTGTATGCATGAGTGATACCATAATGAATCAGTATTATTAATGTGATGTCTATAGTCCTGATGAACAGATGTTTTAGTAATATGGTAACATTTATGAAACCCTATCATATTGGGCTTTACATATATTTGAGTATGTGTGAAACTTTAAGGAATTTAACGAATATTATACTTTTGTGTTAATAAAAATAGTATTAATGCAGTGGCAATTAAAATTTCCCACTCTCCATTTCTTTTGTGACAACACTACAAGTTGGATCCTAGCTAATATATCATAACATCAAACTGTTGCCAAACCTAATTGCCTGTACTTTGCTCTGTTTCTTTTTTCCTTCAGTTGTTTGTTCGTGAAATGTCTTAATGCTTTTACCCAACAGTTTCATCTGGTCATTTTGCCTCCAAGTGCATACCTATATTTCTGATCTAAAATTTTCTCCTCAAAAAATAACTCTGTCAACTGGAAACAGAAAGTTTGAATCTCATGCTACCAAGACCCTGACAGCTTGGTTTTAAATCACAGATGTTAATGTTATTTATAGTGAAAAAATGTGTTGCCAGGCCAACTGGACCATCACATGCACCATCACTATATCATGACTCAAAAACATAGAGATTGATGACTCGTATAATGATGAATGTGCTGGACTGTATGCTCTTACCGTGCATTGTACATCTATGGCCATTTATGCATTGGTTAAAGAGGCCCAAGGTCGTACTGTTTACAGTATAAATCCCATTACCATCAAGTGTAGTAGATTTAGATCTGGATGATAACAGTTAATGGACACCACAGAAGGCCTACTTTAGATATCTGCTACATCGCATTTTGTTTAATGTTTTTAATGCAAAAGAATCAGTTCATTTACCAGTTTACCAGACATAGCATACTTCTCTGGAAGAGTGGCAGTTCTGTTTGCTTGAATTTGTGATTTTTCTTATCAACCCTGTGTAAGTTCTATGTTTGTTCTTTCAGATAGGAAGCAAATTTTTTCCCAGATCACCAACATGTTCTGATGCTTTGTAAGGCCCACTTCACTTGATCAAAAATGCAGCTTCTCCTGTCCAACTTGAAAATCACAGTCATTTCTTCTGTTGGTAGTAAATATGACATAACTGAGATATCACTGTGAATCAGGCCTTCTCCATGCATTCACAGTAACAACAAACAACATATTTCTAGTACTGCCAGTTCAAAGATTGTAGTAATTTTCACTTGATGTAAAAATGAGAAATTTTCCATAAATATTAAGAGTTCACAGTCTCTGGTCTTTCAACCTTCTCATTGCCTGTTACTATACAGTGTAAAACTTTTGTAGAAATACTTTAGGATAATATACATCAACCTCCTACTTCTTTGAAGTTTACTGTGAGTTTAATTTTTGTAAGATTACTGCTGTTAGGTCTAGTATGGTAGGTTATGACATTGTACTGTCTCTGGACCGAGAGATCGGAATACAAATGTCATTGACATATTTCTCTTGCACAGTGGGTAAACAGGATGTATAACATTTCAGATTCTGGATCTTGGCATCAGTATTTGTATGAGATGGTCATGCTGTTTGGCAGAGTCTTGACAACTTTGAAAACAAATTATTTTTGCGCCAAATGAAATGTGACATGACATAACAATAAAAAATCTGGAGACTGTACCATGCCCAGAGGAAGCTGATAATCCTCCCACCACGTTCCCTCTGGTGTCTAGTGACATCTAGCACAAACCAAAATAATTTCAAAGCATCGATTCTGGGATCTTTTAAAGAGATGCTGCAGTGTGGCTTACATTTCAGTAATAGGTTGAGCTGTCATCTGAAAGTCACACCTTTGGTATCTTCTGAGGATTCCACTATCACAGAAAATTATTGATTTAAACACGGAAGAAAATGTATTCATAGTATGTCAGTTCTAGCACATGCACTCCCTTTTGTTTAATTACCTCAAAAGATGCAAGAGTTTTGGGAGAAGTGAACTAGATGTAAAATGTGTGTTTTTATTCTTCTGTACAACATCTGTGCAAAACTTTTTTTTGTTCCGATAAATATGCAGTAAGTTACATTCGATTCATGCATAAATATGCATAGGTCTTCATGAAACTCTCTGTTATTGTTTTCTCATTTTAACTAACATTAGAATATTCTGACAGGTTTTAGAAAACCTCATGTCATATATCATGAAAATCCATTTAGTTTTTCTCAGATTGTGGACAGACAGTTGTGGTAAAGCTGATAGACCAATTTCTGCAACTTGCCATTGTGAAGATGCCAAAAACCGTATCCCCCTTCTGCTGTAAACTGTTGTCTTAATATCAGTATTTAAACACAATTATTGTTGAGTTATAAAGGTCAGGGGTTTGTAACACATGCATGTGAAGTTATGCTCTGTTTTGGTTCATTCAGTATTTAGCTCTCTACAGTTTCCTGTACAGTATTAAGTACATCATTCCACATCATTAGATAAAATTTTGGGTATTACACCATGTGAAAGTGGCAAGTATTACTGGAATTTTTATGAAAAAAACTCCACCGAAACATCAATAATGTTTATCACTTTCAAATGGCTATACAATAAATATGGACTGATATGAAAACCTAAAGTCTTGCATTTTATTTTACTTTACACTCTACAGAGAAATCATATGTATTGTAATTATCACAGTACAGACCTGTTCATTTTTCTTTTAAACTACTGCTCTTAATAACAGGTATTGTGACCTAGCAGTGGTATCCATTATGACTGCAAATTAAAAATAATTAGTTTTTACTGAAAATCCTTATTTTGCATCGGCCTGCTTAAATAACTTAAAATTTGTTTCATGTTGGATGGTCAAAATTACTGTAATGTATGAAGCATTTGAGGTTTTAATGGCAGTGATTATGAAATTATGATCTTCTGGGATCTGATGCTGTAGAGTTTTGCAAATAGTTACCAACGTTTTGAAGGCACTTTGGCCTCTGCCTTCAGGCCTGGACATGGAGGCCACAGATGCCTCCAAACCTTTTTTTTTCTAACAAACCACACATCACCACCTCCCAGAAGGCCGTAATCTGTATTATAATAAAAAATACATTGCACACCCGGATCTGTATCTGAAATGCAGTCTGATTTGAGTGTGTTGAAGAAACTGTACAGAGTTGTAACGGAGTTTAAAAAGTTGTGCCAAACCCAAGTGCCACGATGCTGAACAGATTTGTCATAATTTTCTTATGGCTGTAAAGAGCTGGATGAAATGTGTGTAATGCTTTTGTCATTTTCAGAAATGAGTGGAAATGAAATGGGAAAAATGTGAGCATTATTAAATAAATTTGTATCAAATTGTAATTTATGATATAAAGTAGACCACCACTGTGGACGCCTCAAATCCTACATGTTTTCATTAGTTTATTTAACGATGATGTATGAACTACAACAGATGATGAGAAAATCGTGATGCCACCCTATACCCAGGGAGATACCTGGCACTCATTTCTGTTAGAGGCTGAGTCAACTCCACGGCCATAGTGCGGCTGGAAATACTAGGTCAACTGAAAATTCCGATGACCTCATCTGCAATCGAACCCGTGACCTTCTGGCTTGTAGCATTATGTCTCAACTAACTACACTACCACGTGATCCAAAAATTCGTTTAATGTCTGTCCCCATACAACAATTCGAGGACAGTTGAACGGGATTTCTTGAAATTTTGCTATGGAGAACTGTACTAAATTTTATTGATACAGACTAATTTTGGTTAGAATCAGACAGCAGTACTACGACACTTTGTATGAAACCTTACATGCATTTCTATGCGCTTCTTGAGCCTTAGTTACTATATATTTAGAGGCCACGCCAGAGCTCAAGCAGTTAGTCGCTGGTTTCCCATCCCGGGGGCCCGGGTTCGATCCCGGGTCTGGTCAAGTGGGATTTGTGGTGGACAGAGTGGCACTGGGGCAGGTTTTCTCTGAGTACTTCGGTTTCCCTTGCCAATCTTCATTCCACCAATTGCTCCACAATCACCCTCACCTATCATCTTGGGCTGGTACAATAGGACAGAAGTGGCCGCAGTACGAGGGACTTAGTCCCACCCCCTAGCATTAAAAAATACTATATAATTAAAGGAGCGAAATTTTTAAATGAACATTGCAACGTAAAATTAACTTTTCTTTTTCAAACATGCTTTTCCTATAAGCTTTGTGGCTTTAAAGATATTTAAATGGATGGGAACGAAGTACCATGAATTGTTACACCATACATAAAATTACCCATGTTTCAACCTTCATCCATCTTGCTCTATTTTAAGACAGTCTTCATAGGTCATCCTATACTACACCACTTAGAATTTTGCAAATTAAAGGTCGCTCTATGTGGTATTTCCTGTATTTTTCCATAATCTCCTTTGCCGAAATAGGACCAATTTTCCGTTATCAGTAAACTCAAAATACAAGATACGAGTACATAATTAAAGATTATGCGCAATCGTAAATAAATCTTAAACCCGACACCCAATTATCATGTGCAGATAAGGGTAGTGGCGAGACATGATAAATGAGCGTCCACGCCGGTTCTGGGGCCCACCCATCCTATCCAATGGGTACCAAGGGGATTTTCCCCAGGAACTGAAGCAAACGGGGCATGAAGCTGACCACTCAACCACATCTACCACCGAGCTGAAGAATGTGATGCACTCTCACGTTTGATAAAAGCGGGGATGTTCTGATGGCAGAATAATTGCCAATGTCTCTAGAAGGCCATGTACATTGCATCTAGTTAGACCACTTCGTTGAACACGCTGATGTTCGCCTGATATGAGCTATGTAACACATATGCATATTTACTTAAACCTGGTTCTGAAGTCCTGCCATTCTGGCACAATTTTAATGCCATTACATAATTATTCAACTGAATTTCATTTACAGAAACCTCTGGAGTCGAATATAGGACTGTACCGTGCCATTCCAAGACGTTTATACAAAGTTTGATGCTGTTGAATAAAAACTGTAGAAGAGATGAAGAGATAATGCATTTAGGTGTGGAAGCCCTCAAATTCGATCTCAGGCTCACTGAATGGTTTCCAGTACATCTACAATTTTTGTCCGTGTTGCAGCTGGTTAAGTTTCGGAATTTAGCAACTAACATTCATATAAACTCCATTTTAAGTATGGAATTTGTATTGTACTCATCGAAAATGGAGAATCTGACATATTGCGCAATAGTAACCTTGAAGTATTTAAGGGGGGTGGTGGCGGAGGTATGCAGGTTCGTGTCAGAATCGTCATTCCCGCCTTTTACGGGAGATCTGTTACGTCACTCCTTCCAATGACGGATGGTAAACAAAAGCACAGAGACAGCTTCACTCCATAGAATATACCATTAATAATAACAGAAAGAACTCAATTATGAGCATATTAAGCTATAAAACTAGTTTGTTGTTATAGTATTCTTACTGCATCAGGTCATGAAGGTGTATAAATAAAACTTCATGCGTTTGATTTGTTTCATTCTGGTCCGTCACATTAACAATTACAAAGTATAAATCACTCCGTCCAATGTGACCTGTAAGTCTTTTACTACATAAAAACTTTGCGTGTAAACAAATTATGTGATAGTGGTTTCCTATTTGTAGTGATGTTTGCCCTCTGAGGATGGTCCACAGAGACCGAAACATGTAAGGGTGTTAAGTTTTTATGTAGTAAAAGACTTACAGGTCACATTGGACGGAGTGATTTATACTTTGTAAAACTTCATGCATTCTAGATCACGGCACAAACGTTGTGGTGAGCAGTCAGCTTCAGGCTATCATAGCTTTACCCATAGTGAAATATACTTTTGTCCATTCATTCGATTCTCTTTTGCTGCTGTATCTTTTTCCTGGTCTAGTTATTTGTCAGTTTACCGGTTTATATATTATGTAATGGCAGAATGTTTGCGAATGGTTAATTAGAGATGATATGAGATTGTCGTGGCCAGTATAAATGAGGCACACTGTCATTCGAATGAAGGGACTGGAGAATACCGCGAAACTTTCGATCGGGGTAGTTCTTTTTGAGATCAAGATCAGAACGAGCCACCTCAAGCTAGCCCCCAGACCATGACGCTCGACACAGACAGTACTCAGTACAGTGGACAGAAACATCCTCTGCCCACGCTGGGGCTTGAACCCCCTCAGTCCTAACAGTGATTATGGCTCAGTGATCCGCCAAGTTCAGTCATGCTAACAGACTCTCCCGCGAGACCTGTTATCCTGACAGGATGTTTCGTGATTTAATTCCATTCCTTCAGGACAGTACTGCAATAACTCTATCTAAAGAAGCCTAAGACAACAAGCCAGCCACTGAACACGGCAGCGCGTCCCCCCCACACCCAATGTTTTCAACATTATTTAATTATCGTCATTGTCTTGCCAGTTTTCCCTCCCTTAAATTCTCCTCGACGCCCTGCTTTGAATTGCCATCCTTCATCACTTGAGTGAGAGACGCGGTTTTGTAACCAAATAATGATTATGATGTAATTCTACAGTTACTGAACTTTAATATGCGGAACAATGGAACTACTCGTGCATGCAGGGTTATCTGAATGTGTGACGTCAACTGATTTTGATTTCACTGTAATATTTCTTACGATCCGCCACTCCAACTGGAGGTGCACTATGGATTTGAATGACGTCAAGATGCATCTCGAAGCGAGCTCCCGTCTGTACACGACCTAAGGCTTCTTTTATACTTGCACGCCACATGCCAGGCGTGTGTATTAACAACATTGTTTAAATGGGACCATTTTATACTTACCTGCACGCGTCGAGCTGTCACTTTCTGCCGCCTGGCATGCGACTCAGGCGTGTCAGGACAGGCGTGCGCCCATCACCGCCGAGCGTGTCCCGCCACGCGGGTGGGACCAATACCATACGGAAGTTTTTATAGTTGACGCTTCCCGCCAAGCGGTTCGGTTCAGTTCAGTTCAGTTTAGCTTGCAGTCTTGCAAAGTGCTAGCTTGGAGAATGGATGCAATTGATACAGAGGTGCTGATTAGTGAAGTGCAATCTAGACTTATGTTATGGAACACAAAGTTACACAAGTCTCTCCATTGGACTAATGGGCATGGAGTGGGTCCTTGTAATACGAAAATGACTTTCAACTTTCCCAAATAATTCGTCGAATGTTTTGGGGCTCATCCTAAAATAATTGAAGAACTTTATTTCATCTTCTCGTAAGTCAGCGTACAGGGTTATGAAAGCTCCTTTCAAGTCTCTTTGGATGTTGAGAGGATGAACACTGAAACGCCTTTTCTTCTTTTCTTTTCTTGCCATCTTCTCATAAAGGTATGCAGCAGCGACCGCTTTAGTTGCGAACCCTGCCATGGCACACGCTCGACTGACAAAACTATAAAATGGAAATTTTATACTTACACGCCACACGCCTGACTTCAAGCATGTGGCATGTGGCGTGTGACATGCAAGTATAAAAGTAGCCGGCGACAGGGGGCTGTTGCGCGCGCAGGGATGAGTAAAGTTAGATGCCCGTCATCAAGTTTTTCAGTATTTTTTTTTGTGGAAAATCAGTGTCCAAAGCCGTAAATTGTGTTAATTAGATATCTTTCAGGTACGTGTGACTTCATATTAATTCGGTGAAATTAATGTGTTCTAAAAGTATCAAAAATGATTTTACAAACGTTTACTTGTTGAGCAGGGTGTGTTGATACCACCAGTCAAGTTATGTTTAATTCGGTACCCGCAGTGACTCGAAGCTTAGGTTAAGGTCGAGTTGGACACTCTTTGTATTCAATTTTTTTTACATTATTTTGTAAGGTGTTGTCCTCCCGCCCTCCCCGTTTGGTGCCCCCGATAGGATTTCTGGTTAGGCTGCGTGAATGTAGGTTTTGTGTCCAGATTTGCCCTTGCTGGCATAATGGACGCTCATTTAGGAGGGTTTACGTGTAAGTCAATAATTATCCGCAATGCAGTTGTATTTGTGTTTCTGTTGGCAGCACTGTCGTTTTGCGCAGCATCGCCATGCGTGTTTTCCTTGTCATTATTTCTGCGCAGGTTTGATGTTGCTAGGTCACGTTCATCGTCGCGATCGTCGGTGGCTAGATGTAGATTATGGCTGCTCCGCTTTCTGTTTGCAATAAAGAAGAGCAACGTTCAGTGATCCGGTTTTTGTGGTCGGAAGGTGTATCAGGGGCCGCAGTCCATTAAAGACTTTCAGCACAATATGGGAACAGTGTTTTGCCGCAACGGAGTGTCTACGAATGGATTGAAAAATTAAAAAATGGTCGCACAAGTGTTACGCATGAGGAAGGAGCCGGACGACCATCCACGGCCACAAATAAGGACAACATTGAGCGTGCAGGTAACATGGTTCTGTTAGACAGACGAGTGACTATTGATGAAGTGGCAAATCGTCTGCAAATT